CCAGAAGAGGCCAAGGACACACAGGCGCCGGGTGTTTAAAGAAGAAAAGTCAAGAGGAAGGACAAAGACTGGTTGGACGCCGGTCATTGCTCAGTGTGGCGCTGACCGTGCCCTGACCTCATGGGTGAGTGAAGCCCAGGCCTCTGCGTTCATCGCTTTGGCTACCCCTGCGTAGGGACCGAGACTGTCGCCCTGCCTGCTGGCACTTCTCCCTTCCTCTTAGAAGATGAGACCCTCGCCTCTTCCTGGACCATGTCCAGGTCTCCCTGAAGCCGCCTCAGCCATGCATTATGGGGATGGAGCCAGCTCCTTCCTGAGTGCACTCCAGAGTGTGTGTGTGTGTGTGTGTGTGTATGTGTGTGTGTGTGGGTCTGATGGTAGCAGGTGCTGAGAAAGGAAGTAACCTGGGAGTCTGAATGGGGATCTCCGTGGATGAGAAGCTCAGACTGACCTCTACCTTCCTGGCCACCACCTTTCTTTGGGCCCTGCCAGTGGGAGCCCAAGTTGTTCCCAAGAGCACGGGAGGAAGGAGGCATGGGATGGGAAGATGTTGAGGGGTCTTGGAATGCATGAATGAGCTCTGTGCTTGCAGTCCCTCCCTACTGCCCTCCCCAAACCCTGATTTCTCTCTGCAGGAAACCGAGTCCTCCTTGGAGGGTTTCTGTGTGGGCAGCCTGCACGCCCCACACTCTGGTTTGTGGGGACAGTGTGGCCATGATTAGGCTCAGACTGTGGGTATTTCCAGGAAGGCGGTCCTGGGTTAGCTGAGTCTGGACTGCACTCCCGGTGGCCGTGTGCTGGGGGTGTGACCCTTTTTTCCTGCCTTGGTGTTCCTGAGCATCAGTCCAGGTCTGCTGATTTAGTGGCCAGAACTTGGAAGGGCCATTGTGAGGTCATGAGGTGCTCAAAGCTTTTTTTTGGGGGGGGGGGAGGGTTGTTCGTTGGGGTCCACACCCAGGGGTATTCCGGAAGTGCTTAGGGATCAGTCCTGGTGGGGCTCAGGGCACCTTATGCAGTGGGGCAGACCAAACCCGGGGTGGCTGCATGTTAACAGGCGCGCTAAGCCCTGTTCTGTGGCTCCAGCCCACAGAGCATCTTGTCCTGGGTCCTGGCATGGCCTGAGCTCAGAGTGCCAGCCAGTGTACCTATGGCCACACTCGGGGCTTTGGGAGTGGAGGGTGTGAGGGCAGCCTTGTGCCCTGGGTGCTTTCTCTGACTGAGAGCAGCTCCAGCAGCCACATCACCCCCACTCCATCCTGTTGCCACTTCTCGAGCAGAGTGGCCGTGCGAGGACCACCCAGCTGAGGGCACACAGCAGCCCCCGGGCATGGGCTACTCTCCCTCAGCACCCGATGGTGCTCTGCTGGCCCCTCACCTCTCACCCTTGCCAACATTCCTGAGTGTACAGGCCGCCTTGGCAAGGCAGAAATAGCCCTGCGGGTCAGAGGTGCTGGGCCTCTGGCACTGGCCAGCTGGCCACAAGACAAGCCGTGTGGCATCCAGCTAGTTGCTTAGTTTCCTTGGGTCCTCCCTGGGAAAAGGCAGGAAGGGCTTGCTCCAAGTGGTCAGTAAACTTCCTTGACCTCGAACTTTGTAACCACTGCAAACGCCCGGATGCTTTTGTTCCTTCCTGCGGCCCTTGATGGGCTGGACGGGAAGCCGGGTCAGAGGGTGGCGAGTGCAGCCCAGACAGTGGCGCCCATCCTCTGTGGTACTGGGGGATATGCAGGTGTTTCCGAGCGCTGAGCTGCGCAGCAGAACCTGGCCAGCTGCTGGAGGTCACCTGCCAGTTCATTCATGGGTCACCTGATTGAGCAACTGTTCCCAAGGAAAGCCGCTGGAGTCATGGAAACATTTGAGCTTCCCCCTGGGCCATCTCCTTGGGCTGCGAGCAAGTACACCAACCCCTCATGAATGGTTCTGCTTGGGTCCCCCTGTGCCAGAGCCTCCACGGGTCTGATTGAAGCGAGCCACCGCCTGAGGGTGGAGCCTTGTGCTGGGAAGGAATTCCTCATCCCTGATCCCGGTCCTGGCTCAGAGTCTGAAGGGAAAGCTTTGTGGGGTTTCACATGTGGGTGAGAACTTGAAAACCGGGCTGGCTCTGGGATGACTCAGTTGGCTTCTGAAATACCTTATGAAGATGAGCCTTAAGGGACGCTTCCAGAATTTACTAGTAAAATGAGACGGTGGGAGTAGGGCAGAAGGGTAAAGATACTGCATCCCACAGAGCTTTAACTGGGTGAGATTTTTCAAAGGTGACTCGGCTTAGAATCAGGATCTGTCTATACTGGCCTGCTACCAAATTGGAAGAATAGAGTCGAGTTTTGGAAGAGGAAGAGATATTAGTTATTTAAGTTTATATTGTGCTAGGTATAACCCCCACCCCCCCCACCCCCGGTTCTCAAATAATATTGGCTAAAACACAAGGCTTAATTTTTTTTCTATAAAAAGTTGGGAGGTCGGTAGTTCAATGCAAGAACCTAACTTCCCATTTCTCCGTCCTTAGAGCATTGCCTCCTGATCCAAAATGGTGCATCACTATTATAGATGGAAAGACAAAGGAACTTGACTGTGAGTTTCACTCAGTATCTGTCTACATACAGCTTGAGCTTAGTCACTTTGAGTACTTGCCATGATGGAGGCTGGGAAGATGAGTTCTTACTGGTAGCCATGTTTCTTCTAAGGCATCAAGGGTCTTCTTTCAGGAAAGAGGAAGAAGATAGACAACATGTAGAGATGCCCAGCACTTCCTTGAATAAGCAAATGGATGGATGATGGATGGATGGATGGTGGATGGATGGATGGATAATGGATGGATGATGGATGGAGGTGGATGGATGGATGATGGATGGATGTTGGGTGGATGGTGGATGGATGGTGGATGGATGATGGATGGTGAATGGATGGATGATGGATGGATGGATGGTGGATGGATGCATGGTGGATGGATGCATGGATGGGTGGATGGATCTGGGATGCAAATCTGAGTTCTGTGGATTCAGTTTAAGTAGAATCCTCCTATTAGTAGCATCTGTGATAATGATCAGGGAACATGTTTCTGAATCCAGGAGAGGAAGTTCAGGAACTTGGCCCAAGACCCTGCTCTGAAAGTCCACATTGACTTCATAAGGGCCCCACGAGATGACTATCCAGGGAAGGAAAGGTGGACATGCTCAGCAGGGCTGTCTGGGAAAAGGAATGTCCCCTTAAACATTGTCGAATGCTCATAGTTCACATCCTGGGGCTATCTGTTGCCGGCTAGTGTTGCTTGAAACTTCTGAGCAGTCTTGCTTGGGGGGATCTCTGAGGGACCAGCTGTCCACGCTTTCCTTCAGCCCCTCTGGTTGGATGGAGGGTCTCCCATGCAAGCTCCACATTACTGCAGGGAGCCTGGTGGGCCTGTGGGCTCAGGATTGGAAAAGTAACAGAGCACGTCGTGTCGTCCTGTTCCTGCTCAGTCTATTGGGAAACCCTGGGAGTGTGGCCCCTCCGTCCCCACCATGCTGCACACCCTGCGGAGGAGGGGGGGGGGCGACATGCCACCCTGATCAGGACGTCCTTTGCCACTCTGAAAATTTTCATTTGAGGCCGCTTTGCTGATTTTTTTCCCTTAAAGCGTTGACCTTAGTTCCCGTGGAGTCTTCTACAGGGTATGTTTCCTCCCAGCCCTGTCAGCTCCAGTTCTTCCTTCTTCCCCTCTCCTGACATCTGTTGAGCCTCTTCCGAGAAGTCCTCCTGAACTTCTCCTGCCGGCAGTGACTTCCCTCCTTCCCAGGACTTGGTGTCATGGGCAGCTGTTTTACAGAACCGCTCCCTCGCTGCCTGTTTCAGTCCCCTGATCTGGTGGCCAGTGCCCAACCAGTTGGGGTACAGGGAGTTCCTTGAATGAGGGGGCTGGTGCCCCAGGGGGTCACAGAGCCGTTCTTGCCCTGGGGACTGTGGGCTGCAGGTCTGAGTCTGCTTCCTGAGCGATGCTTGGCATTTACCAAGTGTCAGCAGTCTGTGGTTGCCAAGGGAAAGTCCTTCCTCTCGATCATGTGAGTCTGGCTCTGGGGTGTGTGCGTGCGGGCGTGTCCCCTTCCGCCTGAGACCCCTGTGAGCTCCCTGTTGGGTATTCCTGGGAAGTACGTAACTGATGTGCAAGGGAGGAGCAGCGGTCTTGGGGGAGGGAGGGAATTCGGTTGAGGGACAGTGGCCACTCAGGAGGGCTCGTGGCTGTTGTGGGCCCCAGGATGGGGGGCAGCCTGTCTGCTGTCCCACGGCTGGGATACTGGCCCACTGGGTAATCGTAAACTCTCTTATCATTGTCATCACAGGGACAGAGTGAAAAACTGGTAAAGGTGATTTTAAACAGTTCACGTTGGATATCCAAAGCACAGATCAGTGGCAAAGTCATTAATTATCAAGCTCACCAACGTTCTTTCTTGGTGCCAAGTCTCGAATATTCGGGGTCATTCACACTCTGTCGACTTCGGCACCCGACTCTGTTGCCCTGTAGCATGTGGGGCTGGTGACAGGGTCACAGCTCTGCCCTTCCTCAGGGCTTGTGTGGGTGAGTGGGAGCTAGGCTGGGAGTTGGGGGCCTGTCGAGCAGTGAGCCAGGAGGGGGGTGGGACTCGCTGATCCAGGTGTGGGGACCCTGTTCTGTGTTCTTCCAACTCTGCACCCCAAGGACACCCTCCTGGTGGCTGTGTGCCCCCACCGGGTTCAGGTTCACACGCTGAGAGCTGGGCCAGGGGTCTGGGCGGGGACAGTGCTGGGAACCCCTTGGAGTGTCCATGAAGGGGGTTTTTCCACACCTGTCACGAGAGGAGGTCGTCCGCCCACTCTGAGTGTGCATCTGGTCGCGGGGCTCCCCGAGGGGAAATCGCCCATCTGCCCATCAACTTCCTGTTGGCATCGAGGACCCGGGTGCCTCTTCCAAGAATGGGGTATCCGTGAGGGACCACCCGGGGGCCCCTGCCTTCTCTGAGTCTTCACAAGGGTTCCTTCTCATCCAGGCTCAGCTGGAAGCGCAAAAAGCCACGCAGGACTTCCAGAGGGCCACTGAGGTGCTCCGGGCCGCCAAGGAGACCATCTCGCTGGCTGAGCAGCGGCTGCTGGAGGATGACAAGCGGCAGTTCGACTCGGCCTGGCAAGAGATGCTGAACCATGCCACCCAGAGAGTGAGCAGCCCCCAGGCCCCGGAAGTGGGGTGGGGGGGGGCCGGGGCAGCGGGAATAGGGCACGGCCATCGCGGCTGTGTGCCTGGGCGTGGGGGTGCCCTTCATAACTGGCTGATGGGGACTTTGTGCTCCTGCCCACGCAGGGAGGCAGGCCTGGTGCTGGGTGGGGGGGAGGAGAGAACAGGACTTGCCAAGATGGGCGCGTTGCCCGGGCTCATCCCACTGAACCCTGGGGCTGGGGTGGGGGTTCCCCATGGTGATCCTAGGTACTGGGAGAGATGAGAATCTGGGGTAAGGACTTCAGGGCTGGGCTGGGATTGGGAGAGCCAGCAGGGGAGCAGGGTGAGGACCCTGTGGGGGTCTCTCACTCCTGCTCCATGGCTCTCACTGGCTCTTGGCCAGTCCCCCTGTCCTATGCTCTGGCCACTGCTGCCCAGAAGCACTGGGCCCACAGCTGGCTCCACTGGACTTGGTGCCTCTAGCTGACTCCTGGATTTCGCAGGAGGTGAATTGAATTTTCTGGAAGCCTCTCCTTCCTGCAGGCTGGTGGGTCGTCCGCAGTGGGAAGGGGCTTAACCAAGTTGGAATAGAAACACCAGCGTCCCTGCCAGTAGCCCCTCTCCCTCCAGCTTCCCCTTCCAGGGGTGCCTGGCAACCCCAGCCCTGGTTTGGTCCTGCCTTGGCTTCTTCCTGCTCCTCGAGGCTTCTTGCCCCCTGCAGGACCAGAAGAACCCAGTCAGGAGGGTGGACAACACATGCCCAGCAGCAGCTAGATAGATAGCAAAAGAGCAATAGACACTCCCTCCAGGAACTTAGCAGACCTGCCAGTGTGGTCCCCAGTGAGAATCCAGGTCAGATGCTAAAAAAGACCCAGGAATACAGAACAGGTCTCTTTTCCTGTCCCCGCTGTTCTCCTTCCAGGTCACAGGCCCTATTTGGGGTTGAGTGTAGGCCAAGGAGAGGGGGACACCCCAGGACTCCCTGGTGGTACAGCATGGGAAACCTTGTTCAGAGTTCTCATGGGAGGCCTGGGAGGGATGTGCAGGGCATGATGTGTGGGCCTTCTGCCCTTCTGGAAAGCTCCATTATGTGTATATATATAACCACACCGGCATGGTCCATATGTCTGTCATTGGACACGTGGGTTGACTCCATCTCTTAGCTATTGTGCTAAGTGTGGCAATGAATAATGATGTGTATTATGTTTTCAATGAATGTTTTTGTGTCTTGGGGGTAGACAGCCAGAGGTGGAATTGCTGGGTTATGAGGCTGTGCAATTCTTAGTGTGCTGAGAAATCTCTAAACTGTTTTCCATAAAGATCGAACCAGGCTACTTTTTCACCTCCCTTTTCACCACACTTCCCTGCCAACATAGAGTTCTCAGCATTTTTTAAATATATTTTTTATATATTTTGATAATGTCCTCTTGTCGTCTTGATTTGGATTTCTCTGATAATAAGGGATGCTGAGCACTTTCCCAAGTGCCTACTGGCCATCGCCTGTCTTCCTCTGAGAAGCCTCTGTTCATTTCCTCTCATTTTTTGACAGTGACGTTAGTGGGCCCCCATGGGTGACTTATGTGAGGTGGAGAGGAGACGGTCACTTTCTCCTGATCCACCTCTGCCACCCTGGCCAGGGGTGACTGGGAAGACCAGGACTGATACAGTCTGTTGGGTGAGCCCCTGCACAGCACGGGCCAGAGTCTTGCCAGCTCTACCAAGTGGCCATCAGACCACATCTGACATCTGCTTGATCTTCTGGGCATGGCAGTTAATCCTCAGCATCCAATCTCTCTGGGAGCCGTGCACTCAGGCCAGAGCGAGGAATTGTTCTTTGCAGGAAAGGAAAGTCAGTGCTAGGCCTTACCCAGGCCTTCCAGGCCGTTGTCCTTCCCATAGGAAAGAATTTCTGGGGGAGACGAGCAGCGAAGTAAAAACAGACTTTATCTGGAGGTTTTGAAGGAGGAGGGAGAGAAAAGTGAGAGTAACACATTCAAGAGAGAACACGAGCTTCTCCAAAGGTATAGAGAGAGCCTCAGTACACCTGTCAAAAGGGGAGATATGGGTGACACATGTGCTCAGGCCCCACATGTGCTTGGCCACGTGGGCACAAGGAGCACATGGGCTTGGGCAGCAAATGTGCGCACCTCCTTTGTTCAAGGGAGCTTTTATAGGGTTTTTCCCAACCTTCCCCACGTGGAGCTTCTAGCTAGGTAAGGATCCGTTGCTAGGGTAGTTGCCAAGGGGATAATTGGGGGTGTTCAATGATCCTCTTTGAAATTCCTTTCCTTGGCCTTTGTTCCTGCTGGAGCTTCTTTGGGAAGGGATCCAACCTTCTCCGGGTCTCTTGGAGCCAGGTCAAAGTCTCCTTAGACCTTAGTTCCTTTGTCTGCAAGGTGGGCTTTTTGCAGCACCACTGGGGCTGTTGGTTTTTATTACTTCCTAGGAATTCCACTGCCATGGGCCCTTTCCTGTTCACCCGCCTACATCAGTAGGGTTTTTGGATTCATTTTGTTCATCTTTGTGATAAAGATATCAACTCTATCCGATGCATTGAGTGTGAATATTTTTTCTCATTGAATTGACTGTCTTTTAGTTTTAGTCCATGCTTCCTTTGCCATGCAGAAGCTTCTTTAATTTGATGCAGTTTCATTTTGCTTAGTTTTGATTCTGTTGCCTTTGTCAACAGCATCGTATCATTGAAAACCCCCTTGAGGTCCCTATTCTTGGAGTGTTCTGCTTGTATTTTCCTCAGAGTGTTTTATAGGTTCTGGTCTGATCTCAAGGCATTTGATCCACTTTGAACTGGCTTTTGTATAAAGTGTGAAATATGGATCCATCTTTAGTTTTTACACGTGGTTATCCAGTTTTTCATTTCTCGAAGAGGCTATCTTTACTCTCTTTCATATTTGCAGCTCATTCATCACAAATTAGCTGACCATCTATATGGGGATTTGTTCTTGGATCTCTGATTCTGACACATTAGTAAGAGAGTTTATAATTACTCCAATGTTGTTTTGATCACTGTAGCTTTATAGTAGTTTCAAGTTAGGTAATGAGATGCCTCCCAGTTTCTTGTTTTGCAGTATGACTTTGGCTCCTTTTATGATTCCATAAAACTTGGTTATTGGTTATTCTAAGTCCTTAAATGTGGATGGGGATTGCATTAAGTCTATGTAGTAGTTTAGGTAAGATGGTCACTTTGACAGTGTTTATTCCAATCCATGAGCATGGAATGTTTATTTATTCCATAAAGTTTTGGAAATGGTGTTTCCTACAGCTCACAAGATGCAAAAATAGTGCCAAGACATTTGGAGCCATAGAAACCCGTCATTTTTTAAAAAATGATAATTTCAGGGCTTGTTGTCATTTTCCTGGATTCTTAGTGCCTCCTTTGCCATGAAGTAAATGAAACCATTGCCCCAGACTGACTTGGCTGTTGCCTTGGTGGGGAAGATAGCACCGTGACCCCTCCCATTCCCAGGTTAAGTACAAAACTCCCCATCCACCACTTCATCTTTCTCCCCACCAGCTGATTTAAAACACTGCTGTTCATAATGCTGGGAGAGAAATTCTGAGCCATCCATGGGACCTGATCTGTGGTTTGTTTCCTTCCTCATTTCTCCTCTGGGCAACCTGAATCTCACATCAGTGACAGAAGGCGGGAGTGTGGCCCAGATTTCTGGGATGTGCCTGTGAGCGGCCTTGTTCAGGATCATCAAGGGCTCTTGATTATCGATTTTTTTTGGTGTGTGTGTGTAGGGGGCAGGTTGGTAGGGCCTGGACCATATGTGGCGGTGCTCAGGGGCTGGTGCTGGGCCTGTGCTCACGAGTGACCCCTCATGGTGCTCTGGGGACCCTATGTAGTACTGAGGGTATTGAGCCAGGCTGAACAATGTGCAGGACAAGCACCTTAACCCCTAAACTATCTCTCTGGCGACTGCATCTTTTTTTTTTTTTTGGGTCATACTTGGCTATGCACAGGGATTACTCCTGGCTCTGCACTCAGAAATTACCCCTGGCGGTGCTCAGTGGACCATATGGGATGCTGGGAATTGAATCCGGTTCGGCTGCGTGCAAGGCAAATGCCCTACCCACTGTGCTATTGCTCCAGTCCAACTGCATCTTTTTTAAAACTCATTTTTTATCCATCATCTTAATGAAAATATTCCACCAGAGTTTCCCTCCAGAACATGTGTCTCCAGCTTATTTCCTTTTTCGGAATCCTTGGAATCTGTTGTGAGTGCCTTGACTTGTTTCACTGTCGAGTGTGGCTCTTCTGGGTTCTGGATTGGGGAAGCGACAGGACAGTGGAGACCCCTGGCTGCTGTGGATTCGGCCTGCCTGGTTTTGCTCATGCTCCCAGGCCTCCGTGCCAGGCCTCTCCTGCCCCTCTGTGACCTGTGGGAGCCTGAGCAAGAAGGGACAGCCACTGGCTTGACCTGCCCCATCTTTCTGATGTTTGTTTCCCAATGTTCTTTCCCAATTTTTGTCACTGCCCACTTGGCGATTTCTTCCTAGTTGACTCTTCCGGACTAGATTCACGGGGTGGGCAGGTGATGGCATTCAACAGGGAGGTTCATTCAGTCTTAGCTCACTCATGTCTCAAAGGATCTTTGTCCATGACATAAGTCACACTTTGTCAAAGGGGCAGGCCCAGGCTGGGCCATGCTGACCTCTGCTGTTGCTTGAAGGTCATGGAGGCCGAGCAGACCAAGACACGGAGCGAGCTGGTACACAAGGAGACGGCGGCCAGATATAACGCGGCCATGGGCCGCATGCGGCAGCTGGAGAAGAAACTCAAGCGTGCCATCAACAAATCCAAGTGAGTCTGGCTCCCTGCTTCTCTACTGTTCTTTCCCCTCTTCTCCCTCCGAGTCCCAAGACCTAAGGAACCCCCAGACGCAGGGGGTGAAGAGGGGAGCAGGAGATGGGGGTGCTCCAGCAGTCACTGACCTGGGAGCAAAGCACGTGCATGGCAATCACCCTACCCACTGCACTTTCTTTCTGGCCCCGGTTTCCCATCCTTGGACATGAGAGTCACTCGGGGCTCTGACTGCCCTCTTGAGTTCCCCCCAGCCCTGTAGTTGGACACGTTGGAGTCTTGTGTTGACTCAGCCCTAGGAAGGGGCCAGTCCGGCTCCCTCCCTCCCTTCCATGCTCCTGGACTTCACTGTAGCCACGGAGTTTCCCAGCTCTGACGCTTTTCCTTCCTGTCTCCTTCAGGCCTTATTTCGAACTCAAGGCAAAGTACTACGTGCAGCTGGAGGTATGTGTGTGGCCCTGAACTACATGCTTTGTGGCTGGTGACACCAGAGCCCCGTTTTTCAGTAGTTGGCTTCCAGGTGTTTTATTTTTTTTTTTTTTGGGGGGGGGGGAGTAGAGAGAGAGGGAGAGAGGGAGAGAGAGAGAGAGAGAGAGAGAGAGAGAGAGAGAGAGAGAGAGAGAGAGAGAGAGAGAGAAGGAATAGTGTGTGTGTGTGTGTGTGTGTGTGTGTGTGTGTGTGTACAGGCTACATTATGTCTATCCCGTCATGACCTTACCACAGAATTTTGTGGCTCACAAACCATCAGGTTTTATATCTTCTGGGGAATAGTCGCCTCAGGGTGCCTCTAGGATCTGCCGAGGCCATGGTGCCTGAGAGCTCAGCCACCTCTCAGGTTCTATCCCTGACCACCTGTGTTCCTCCAGGCCTTCCCCGGGGTAAGAGGCATAGCCCAGGGCCCCCTCATGTGTGGTGTGGCTTCCTGTCAGCCGAGCCCAGGGTCTGTGCCCTGGATGGGGGTAAGGAAGGATGGATGGAGGTGGCCCTCACTGAACCCACCTCTTGTCATTCTCCTGGCCAGCAACTGAAGAAGAACGTGGACGAGCTACAGGCCAAGCTGGCCTTGGCGAAAGGCGAGTACAAGACGGCCCTCAAGAACCTGGAGATGATCTCAGACGAGATCCATGAGCGCCGGCGCTCCAGTGCCATGGGGCCTCGGGGCTGTGGCGTAGGCGCCGAGGGCAGCTTGGCCATGGAGGGTCTCTCCGTGGGCAAGCCTGAGCCGGATGCTGTTTCTGGTGAGTCAGAGGCCGGGTGCCCACAGGGAAGTGGCAGAGCCAATGTCATCTGCTTCCTTGACACCACAGGGGAGCATCCCCGAGACTGGCTGGGGGTGGAGGTGGGGGGGCGTGTCCAGTGGTCCCTGTGAAGCCAGGGACCCAGGGTTAAAGGCTTCAGGCAAGTGATGCATTTTCACATTCCTGGTTCTGAGAAGTCCTGGAAGCAAAGTTATCTCAGGGTAGTAGGGCTTTGGAATTAGATTTGATTCAGATCCCGGCCTGACCGTGAGCTGGAGCATGAGAGTATCATCTACTTGGCAGAGTGGTCCCGAGGACTCAGTTCCCCCAGCACCCAGACAGTCAGTGCTCAGTAAATGGCGCCTCTCGCTGGGGTCTGACCCTGGGACCGTTTCCCAGCACACCCCACCCCGGGAAAATAGCAGTCCTCTCTCCTGCAACTTTTTGGCTAATCGGGAACACCCCCTGGGGACCAGAAGCAGCTCAAAGGTTACTTAATCTGTTTTGCTTTTGCTTTTTGGGCCACATCTGGTGATGCTCAGGGTATACTCTTGGCTCTGCACTCAGGAATTATTCTTGATGGTGGGAGTCACTTTGGCAGTGCTCGGGGGAAACATATGAGATGCCGGTGACTGAACCTGCTTGACTGAGGGCAAAGCGACCACCCAATCTGCTGTACTCTCTCCATCCCCGGAGGTTGTCTTGCAAACTCCTGGTCACTGGCTCAGTTGGCTGGGAATTGCTGACAGGGGTGAGGGGTTGTGTGTGTGTATGGGGGTGGGGTGAGAATATTCAAGAAGCCCCCAAAACCCTGCAAACAGGACAAACCCGCCCCTCTGGGTACTATCTTCACAACTTTGCCCCTTCTTCCTTTCCCGTGAGGTAGAGAAACTCCTCTGGGTTCTTTCCCAATTGCCCACGCTAGGGAGAGGAACGTGGAACTCAGGTGGGCTCCATGCATGCCCCTCAGGGGATCATGTGACGAAGAAAAGGAGTCCCAGTCAGCATTCCATCTAGAAGCTTCAGCTTTGGGGAGAACAGGGCCCCAGGGTCTGCCTTTGTTCCGGTTCCATTTTTTGGCCCTGCCTGGGGGCCATGCTGGAGAAAAACGGCTGGGTTTGGCTCATGTGAGGGCCATGGCTGGGCAGTGTCTGGCAACACTGGCTCTGAGGACAGGGCTGGGAAGCCGTTGTGGGGACAGATACCTCAGAGGGCTAGGCTGTGGCAGTCTGGCCCCGCTGGGGGTGGTCACGCCTCGGGTGGCTCTCATTGCCCACGGGCCTTCTGACCAGACTTCTATCTCCACCCTGCCCACCATTCCTCCCCAGTGGCCTCCGAGGCTTTCGAGGATGACGCCTGCAGCAACTTCTTGTCAGAAGATGACTCGGAAACCCAGTCCGTGTCCAGCTTCAGCTCAGGACCCACGAGCCCCTCGGAGATACCAGAGCAGTTCCCTGCGGCGGTCAGGCCGGGCAGCCTGGACCTGCCCAGCCCCGTGTCCCTGTCCGAGTTCGGCCTGATGTTCCCCGTGCTGGGGCCCCGCAGCCAATGCAGTGGGGCCTCATCTCCGGAGTGTGAGGTCGAGCGAGGTGCGTGCAAGCCCCAAGGGCCCCGCAAGGGTGGCTAGAGGGTCTCCGGCTGCTCTATCTCCTCCTTGCTCAGGAGGGGATTTCCTGGGTGTCGGCAGGGATGGGAGTGGTTCCTCCTCTATGGAGAAGCCAGGTAAGGGCCAGTTACAGGGGTGAGGCCGGGCCCGCAGGGAGCTGACTCCACTCATCTTCACGTGTTCCTAGGAGACCGGGCAGAGGGGGCAGAGAATAAAAGGAGCGACAAAGCCAACAACAACAACAACCGGGGGCTCAGCAGCCGCACCGATGGAGGCAAGAGCGAAGGCGGCGCGTCCCCGGAGGGCCAGACCTTGGAGAAGCGGATGACGCAGCTGTCCCTGCAGTGCACCAAGGGAAGAGAGGCCATCGCGGCCAACAGAGACGCAGTGCAGATCGGTTGACCTCGCCGAGGCCCGAGTGCGTACCGCCCGTTTATACGCCAAAACTGTGTGAGAACATTGTGCCAATAATCATTTTAACGTATGCCAAATCGTAAGCGCTGACCTCTCTCGATTGCCCCCCACGGCGTGCGGTGACCTCGGAGGGCTGGGGAGTTTTCTCCCGGGTAGGCTGGTAGCTTTTCCCCGAGCAGAGGTGCTGCAAGGCAGGCTGTGGCCGGGGCCACGCCCTGCGTGCCCTCAGCCCCTGCCACGAGGTATGGAAGCAATAACTAGTTCCAACGCCAAGAACCCGGGCCAGCAAAAGGGGCTGGGAAACTGAGGCAAACTGGAGCCGGCAGCTTGCTTCTCTCTTCCCCTTCTCCTGCCCGCCCTCACCTCGTCTGGAAATACGGAGGGGTGCGCTCCTTTCTGTGACACCCCGAGGGACCGAGATGAAATACTCTTGATGGTCCAAGGGGCTTCTAAAAAGTGTATGCTGGGATACTCATTAAAGGAATTTTTCTAGGTTTCCATGAACTGCACTTTGGGGGATGGAACGATGAATGCCAGTGGGGGAACTGGGGCGGGGGGGAGGGGGGACAAAGGCAGACACTTAACCTAGAAGGGGATTTGTGGTGGTGGGAGAGAAGGTTCTGTAGCATCAACCCTATCCTGCTAGCCGAGGGGACTTCATCTAAGAGAAGTGCATGTGGAGAATGGTTGCTGTTGTTCTAGCTAGATTGACAAGGCGTTAATTTCTCTGTAGGTTGTCATTTATTATTTTTTTTAAATAAAGGATATTATTTAAGGGTTATGCTGCACTAGTATTTCTTAGAGAAAGTTGTACCTTAAAGCTAGGAGAGGGAGTAGGCATGTGTTGGCAGAGGCTGCTAAACAGAAGCAGGGGGTCTGTTATGCTAATAGTAGAGCTAAGGCTACTTTTCCTTACTGTTTTCAACGTTACACCTACTTAGAGCTCAGTATTGTTCCTTTTTGGGGGGGTGGGGGTTAGCATTTCTAAAAGGGAAAAAAGCAACCTCCCTTCCAAGTCGTTGGTTGGTTCAATTCTGTACGTGGAAGTCATTTGAAAATTCCGTCATTCTGTAGTGTAATGCTCCTTTTTTAACGACCGAGACCTGTATTCTAATTACATGGTTATTTTGTACTTGTCTTAATACCTTGAGAGTAATAAAAAATGGCTTAAGAAAATGTCCGGCTTTTCTGTGATTTCAGACAAATCCTGACGTTACCAGAATCTCTCAGGCAGTCTTCTTGCCATGAGGAAGAATATGGAACACAGTAGTCAGTCAGCTGTTATCACTGTCACTAAAAATGTTGGATGCCAGTCATTTCAGGCCCTGATACCAAGATTTGAATTAAAATGCCACTTTTGCTGTTTCTGAAGCCAAAGAGTGAGTCTCAGAGAAATAAAGATAAGACCGTTTACTCGTAAGCTGGAGAAGCTGTTTTCAACCTCTGCTGCACCTGGGAAGCTTAAAAATCCTTCCCTTTCCCTACAGATTTAAATTATCGGGGGTAATCTTGGGTACTGAACTTTAAAAAGCTCCCCGGATGATTCTAATGTGCCAAGACCTTTCTATCTTGGTCCAGCCGAAATGAATCCTTCCCTTACTCAAAACAGCTGCAGCACTTCCTCTGTGGCGCTGTCAGTATCCGGTGTGTGACTGTTCGTAGACAGTCATTAGAATTCTAAGGACATGAATTAAGCTTAGTTTCTTCTCAGATAATTTCAGTTTTTTCACTGACCAAAAATCTAAAACCTCTTGCTTTTAGATTTTTCTCTGACAAGCTATAGGAAATTAGAACACTTAACATTAATGCACTAAAGTTGCAAGTACTAATATGCACCAAAGTGAAATCTCAGATCTCACCAACAACCTACTGGTATGCAAAAAAAAATTTTGTTCAAGTGTAAATTTTCATGCAAATGAGTCATTTCCAACGGAACACAAAAGATGAAAGTCCTTTAATAGCCAGTTTTTCTTGGTTTCAATGATGAAGTTTCCATTAAAGTATAAACATTTTATTTCAATTAACGGTAGTAGAAATTAAAAATACATTTAGTAATTATAAAGTAGAGATGATGAAAAGTTCCCACTTATTTTCTGATCTCTAAAGTCCGGAACATCGTTCTGCTCTGTTGGGTTCTGATGCACACTGGTCATAGCTTGATAATTTTTTCTGAATACAACCCCAATTACTATATATTTCTCATTCGTATTTTTTTAAAAAACACAGAATTGTAGAACTATTAAAATGACTAAACTGTGGTGTCTTTAATGCTGCAAATGACTACATTCACTAAGCCAATGAAGAAAAATTGCAATAATGAAGATATCTTAATTTTCTTTACATGGATGGGAGACAGTTAATTTCTGCTCTCATTCTTGAGTACCTTTATACTAAATTAGTATTTCTTAAAGCTTTATTCTTTCAAAGCACCTGGACAACAATAAACATTTAAAATCATAGGTAATGCAGTTAAGTGTTATGGTAAAATGATTCATTTGGTAATTGGTTGCCCAAGATGTACAGAAGAATCATGATACAAGCAGGTTCAACAGACAACATGCTTTCTGCCCGACAGACAGACAATCTACTTCGGACTATTACACCAGCCTACGGCTCGCTGCAGACAGAGTCTGTGCTCTTCATTTTCCTAAGGGGGCCTCAGTCCCTCTCGCAGGTTCATCTAACTGTGTTGACTGAGTCCAGTCCTTAATCACCAACTTTTTTATACAGTGGGGCCCCTAAGTCCAAACCAGCTCCATATATACAAAGCCATGTGTCAGTGGCACTCCAGCGGCGTACAATTCTCACTAAACACCCTGATGTGAGCACCAGGCACCCACTGTCAGTTTTCAGCACTCTAATTCTCTTGCTGCGTTCATTTTAGCCCTCAGCTGAAGAGCTGACGCTTGGTGAGCATAAAAATCCGGTCACCGCTAACCTTTCTCCATCACTGAAGCTGCGTCATCTTGATGGGAATAATACTATTAAAGTCCAAGAAAAAAGGCCCTTCTTGTTTAGGCAAAAACGTACTGGGAATGATATTGTAGATTCCAGCAGGAATAGTCTCTAATTCCAGGTAACAGAACCCACACCTGTATTCCGGGGAAAAGGAGAACAAGGTTTACAGAAGATGCCACAGGAAAGAAGGAACGAGATGCAGTGGAACCACCCACTTTACCTGTAGTCGCCGCTGGATTTCCTCTGAAAGCCATGGGGCCCGGGGTCTCCCGCCACAGAAATGGTGACAATCTCAAAGCCAACACTATATTGCCTACCAGGAAAAAACAACAACAACAAAAAAAACCGGAATCACTGCTGCTCTTCTGGGCTCTGATAATGTGACTTAAAAAGTATACTCTGGTGCAGATGTCTTACTAGACCAATGTTATGCTTCGAAAGCTTCAAGAGGAGGAAGCAGCACTGTCAGCACATGGGCACTATTTTTACTCTTCAAGATACAAAATGCCATTTGTATTTTTAAACTGAAGCCAAAGCTATATTGCAATGACTTTAGAAGAGAAGACTATATTTATAAGGCAAAATACTTTTTCTGCCAGGGCATTAGGCAGAAAAAGTGGCATCTGACTGAGAAAGTCCCGCTGAAAATCTGGAGTCAGAAGTACTCAGATGTGGGGGAAATTCATTCCACATTACTCAGGCAAGGGCTAGACAGTGACAAGGCAACCAAAACATCGCTGAATTCTACCTCGCATCAAATAAAACAAGAAAACAGGCAGAATTAATATTGGGGGTGAAATTTCTTGGTTACAACAAATAAACCAGAAATCACATCTGTGGAAAAAAGCTGATGCTCAGGGAAAAACTGTAATGGAAGAGTGGAGTTAATATCTCTATCCGTCCTTACTCACGCTTAAAATCGAGGACCCCTATGTTGGGGTGGGCAGAGAGATCAGTGGTCAGAGCTGCGCACTCGGCATGTGTGGGACCCTGTGTTGGAACCCTATAGCCTGTGCTTATCCCAGCTCCCACACTGCTCCCCGGGCCTGGACTCTAGCTGAGATGGCCCGGCTGGTTGGCTCAGTTGTTTGCAGCAGCCGCCAGGCTCCCGGAGCACTGCGTGCAAATTTCAAACAAACAAAACCAAAAAACAAAACACTAAGTCAGAGGGAAATGGGGAAAAGACATAAATAGGCCAAGATGAAAAATAATACATAGCCACTGTTTTTCCATTTCCAGTCTGCTGATAGGTCAACTACAAAGCCTCAGTTACAGACACCTTGTTTTACCTGTTCAACTGGTAACGATTTTACATGGCTTAACAATGTCCACTTAACAAAGTGAACAAACAGATGACTTTCCACCAAGATTGGAAAAAAAAAACCCACTGAGCTCCCAGAATGTCTTTCTGATAACTCCCATCTCCCCAGAACTAAGCCTGGATAATCAAGTGCTTGTATGTCGTGCTTCAAAGACAAACTCACGGCTACCTGAGCACCCTCATGCAATACACCGTTGCTTTGTCTGTTTTCAGTTCCCATATGTAGTATCAAGCAGCACACAGTCTGCTCTGGGTCATTTCTATTGCTTGGCACTGCTTTAAAGACAGCGTGCTGTAATTTATATTCAATTACATGCCTTTTTTTAAAAAAAAAAAGATAATTGTTAATGCCACTAAGGAATATTTTGATGGCTTCAAATGTGTGGCTCTTATAGTAACCATCTGGATCATTTTTTTCTTTTTTTTTCCTACTTTTTAAAAACCAGGCATTTTTCTTACTAATATAGATCATTCACAGATCTTTTTATATGATTTTTGTATCTTAAGTTCTCTTTCCCTACTTTGAGGTTATTTAATTACCTCACTTTATTAGTAATTGTCGCAGAATTGGTTTTTAGATTTGGTATAAGACAGGGGTGTAATTACATTTCAGGGACATGAACACAATGATTTCACCTCTATTTTCATGGAGAGACAATTTTAAGTCCTCTGCAATACCATCTTTTTTAATATGTCAAGTGCCTACACATTCATAAAATACATAGGTCTATTTTATTCCATTAAATCCAGTTTCACTACGATTTTTATTTTGCTCACTTGGGCCTACTAAGGCAGATCAAAGTCCTCTACCTCTGGCCATCTTTCCTGCCCCAAACAATGACTGAACAAATTTATTTATCACAAACCTTGGTCCTCTTAGCTCGATCAATAATGGCCCAGTCTTTTCTACATGAAATTGGTAGATGGGATTATTTTTGTGGGTCTCTTGGTAATTTCCACATCCTCCAGCAGTATGACCACTCCACTTTCCATTAATCTAACAAAACAAAAATGTTTTTTATTTCACAGTCGTTCACATCCTTCAATTCAACTTTAAAAATAAAACCCCCTTTGCAACTTAAAACCAAGTCAAGCAATTCTCCTGTCGCCCTCCTCCTCTCTCTGGTCTGTCACTGATAATTCAGGGACCCACAGGGTCAGACTGCTCCGTGACACAGAGCTCCCCCATCTTCCAGCATTTCATCACACTGTTCTTTCCCCACAAAGCCTCCCCCATCTCTTCCCCAGATTCACTTAACATTGCCCACTGAAGACCAAGTCATTCCAACTCAGACTAGAGGCTATTCGACATTTTCTGTTAAGTCCCGGAATGTTTTTATTTTTTTGCAAAGTTGTTAAAGGTGAAGAATGAAAGGATAAAGCTACAAGGGAATTCTAAGATGTCTCAGATGCCCAGAGTAATGAATTCTTTTACCTGTTTTGATAAGGTATATGGTGAAGGAATCTTAGAAAAAGTAAAGCTGCATGCTGAATATACCTAGGTTAAAAAAAATATATGGATAGAGCTCACTCTCAGACAAATACTGAAGTCATAGAAGAGTATTATCAGAAAATTAAAACACTAGCTGGCATATTCAAGTCTTTCTGTAAGCAACATGGTAGCAAGGCACGTGTACTGGACCAGAATTTAGTCCTGACCCCTCTGCTGCTGACTGTCAGGGCTCAGGAGAAACCAACACCTCTCCAGGCCTTAGTCTGCAGAGAAGCAGCTCCCCAGTGTCCTTTTTCATTACTAAAAATCTATCTGAATTGAGCTTCTTTACTGATTTCTGGCAAACAAATGTATACACAACAAACCCACAATGGTCTCCCAGCCACAGGAAAATAGCAGTTCCTTTCTACTAAATTCAATTTTTTTTAACTCAATATAAGTACTAGGAATTTTTATTTCTGGCTCTAATACTGAATTTATTACTTACTTAGCCCTGAAGTAATATGGTATATTAAAATATGAATCTGAAGACTAAACTGCAAGATCAAAATTAAAACATTATTTTTCTACAGGAAGTACTGTGATCATTTAATGTGGTATTGTGATATACAGCTGAGAGCGTATATAAAAATATACACAAATCAAACATTCAGACATAACTTTCTGCACATAAGTCCACTTAGAAGAGCACATTAAGTACTTTATATTACTGACATCACTCTAGATTGGGTTTTACTCACCCGGACTGTGTAGTGGATCGTGTTCTGTTTTTCATACTGAGATACCACTAATGTAAACGTGTGGGTTCCAGGTGTGGTCAGTTTGATCTTAGTCAAATAATGAGGGCTGTTAATGCGAATCCCATCAATATACGGAGCTGGGTCAGCTGCAAGCAAACAGGTTGACAGCAAAGGAGACTTTAATTTTATGTCTGGTAAGAAAAGTGATTAAGACTCACAAATAACTCTCAGAAGAGATCAACAAGCTACAGAGAAGCCTCTAGGCCCTGTGCCAGGTTAAATCTTATATCCAGGACACCCTGGAGGGGGCAGGTGAGTTCCCCCACCTGCTGGAACAGAACCCCGGCAGTCAAAAACCTCCAGTACCCAATCACCACCATGCTCACAGCAGATCTTCACAGGCTCTGACGAGCCTCATTCATGAGCGAATCTGTTGGAAAACTCTGGTATGCGGGGTTTGTGACAGAAATCTCCAGGCTCTCAAGGAGTTGGGATGGGCAACCTCCCCTCATCCCCATTTTTCCGGGACCCCGGCAGTCACATCCACAAACTGCCTCTGGCGCCATATAAGCTCATTAATTGACCATGATCCAGAGACTCACTAATAAATCTAGGAAGAGACCAATAAGCTGCAGAGATGCCTCCAGACCCCAAAGTCACAATCCATTTAAAAATTTAACTTCTGCTGTATAACATTACTTAAAATTTTAGAATTCCTGGAATGACATCTCATACTCTATACCAATGACGTACCAGGAGTAGCACACATTGGATGGGATGTAAAATGAAGGCAACCAATCTAGATTTAAAAAATCAGCATAATAACTGAAACCCAAGGACAAAAATTTGTAAGTCTACAACTGTACCTCATGGTGTTTCACTAATAAAAATTTTTAAAAAATTAGCACATAAGGTTTAACCTGTAACAACATGTTAGTAATCTCTTATACAGGGGCTTAATGACTCCAGGATGAGATACAATGATCTTTACACACTTTCTTCTAAGGAAATATTTTTGATCATTTCTAGAAAATTATTCATAACAAGCAATACTTATTATTTAGGGCCTGCTGTTGGGGCAGGCTTGGGTGGTGCTTGGAAAAATTCAAAATAATGGTGGTGGGAAGGTGTAATGGTGGTAGGATTGGTGCTGGAATACAGAGTGTAATAAATTATTGTGAACAACTTTATAAAAATGAAATTAAAAAATAAAAGTGATTAAAATGGATGGATATACCTTAATTTTATTCTATCTTTAACATACAATGGTACAAAAGAATTACCATTTCAATTCAGAATTTTTTAATGGGACAATTTAAATCTTTAAATAGATTCAAATAGGCAAAAGTAATCTTTTGAAATACATTCACTCTCACAGTAACACAATTCTGACTCTTGGCTATATATTTTTTTCCAGTACAGGATTATTTTTTGATGGGTTTAGAGAGCACACACCCAGCCATGTTCAGGGGTTACTCCTGGCTCTACACTCCGGAATCATTCCTGGTGGTGCTGGGGGGACCATAAGGGATCCCAGGCTCGCTAGTCTGGGATTTTTTAAAAATTTATTTTAAATTAATTTTTATTGAAAAACACTGATTTATAAAGTGGTTCATTATATAGTTGTTTCAAGCATTTTGTGTTTCAACACCACCAGTGTGATCTTCCCTCCCCCAACATCCCTCCCCATTTCACTCCCAATCCCAACCTGCCCCTTTTGGCACATAACAAATTTATATAATATTGCTTATTTCAACAAAACTTTAAGAAATGGCAAATGGAATGATCAGAAAATGAATCCGTAAGGGCCAATTAGTGATTACTATATGCTTCTGACCTATGTAAATAAGAAAATTAAAACCAATGCTATATAAAGATACCTATTCTCATTTACATATATATGTTTCAAATCTAGAATCTAAAATATATTACATTCAATTTAATTTTATACTTGGATCTCATTATGGTAATAATCATGTCTCACCTGACATTAATAGCACTTTTAAAACAATTCTGTGTTAATATAGTTTGGAGTTTACATGGAATAGGTTAGGTCTACCTATGTAAATTTTCCCCTTACACTTTATATAAACACTGTGGTTTACAAAGTTGTTCATGATGATTTGTTATAGGAGTTCAATATTCCAACACAAATCCTACCACCATTACCGCTTCCCTCCACCATTGTTAGTATAGGATTTTTCAAATCATGATTTAACCTTTATTTAGATTTGGAGTCACACACACAGGTGCTCAAATCTCACTCCTGGCTCTGTGCTCAGGAATCACTCTTGGCAGGGCTTAGGGAACCACATGGGGTGCCAGGGATCAAATCCATGCCAGTCATCTGCAAGTGTCTTATCTGTTGTACTATAACTCTAGTGAAAAAACTGTAAAGCTACAAGACATATAAAAATATAGTACCCATTCTCAGAATCACAATAATATTTTGGGGGGTCAGACAGCTTTTTTATTAAACAAGTTTCCTTTGTTTAATAAAAACCATCACCCTTACACACATTTATCCTCCCAAATAAATGAATGAATAGCATTCCTATGAGCATGTATCCTTTAAAAAATATAACTTTAGCTTCTACCTTAACATATTTCTAAGATTCAAGCTGTTCTATATAGATATGGATTATTCCTTGTAAAGTTGCCTATGTAATGTTTTAATACATGAGTATGATACATTATACTACCATTTAGCTACTCAATTGGAAATTAGATTACTTCCCATAATTTGCTATTAAGACAATGCTAACATACTCTTCCGCAGTCTTCATCATCAAGACTTTTGATCCTACTTCCTCCTTCACTGTCCATTTCTTTGGACAGTTTTCTTGCGACAAACTGTCAACCACTTCCTGTAGTTTCTTTGGAACCACTCCATGTGGGCTCTGGAGCCCACCCTTCCACCCATCCGGGTGCTACAGCCAACAGTCTCTTCTCTAGCCTGATCTGACCTGGGCTCCCCACAGCAGTGCACGCAGGTGTTTGCTCTTGCCCTCAGGAACTATTTCCTTCCCTTTCTCTGTTTTACTGGTTCTCTCTTCAGACTCTTCCCCGGCACATTCTTGCTGCTCATCTTTAAGATGTCGAAGTGTAAGGAGCAGGTGCAGGTAGTACCTGTCTTTACCTTCTACTCTTTGCAAACAGTCTGTAGTTGTTAACAGTTTGAAGATGTCACCTCTCTCTGCCCCAACTTCTTAACATGTGCCTACAGTTTTAACCCTATTCCCACTTCAAAAGCTCAACAGCTTACTTGGCATCAGCATGCAGACAGCCACTAGGTATCTCTAAGGCACCACACCAAAAATTACTTTCAATTTTACTCCACAACCAATCTGCTCCCTCCTCTGCCCTGACCCGCTCTGATCAGTTCTACCTTTCCTTCACTTCATGTGCAAAACAAAACAGCAATCAACCCAGAGTCATTCTTGTTTCCTTATCATACTGTCTCCTGTCAATACCCTACCCACACCCTAGTCTGTTCTCTTAACTCCATTCCTACCACTCAGTCAAACCACCATCATTTCTGGCTTAAATGCATCTAATTGGTCTTGTTGTTTCCATTTTTTGCTCTAATATTTTCTACACAGAATGCTCTTAAAAAAAAAAACAAAATGAAGAACATCAGAGCTGTAGAGATGGCACAGTGGGTAGGGCACTTGTCCAGCTTAATTCCTGGCACCCCACATGGTCCCCTGAGCCTCTCCAGGAGTGATTTCTGGGCGCAAAGCGAGGAGTAAGCCCTGAGCACCACTGGGTGTGGCCCCAAAACAAACTCGAAATATGCCATGTCATTTTCCTGACTAAGATTCTCCAAAGCTGGGGGCCAGAGCCATAGTAGAGTGGGGAGGGTGTTGGCCTTGTAAGTGGCTGACCCGGGTTTAATCCCCGGCAGCCCATGTGGTCCCCATGCACCACCAGGAGTAATTCCTGAGTGCAGAGCCAGGAGTAACCCCTGAGTTTCCCTGGGTGTGACCCAAAAAGAAAAAAAAAATTCTCCAAAACTTTCCCATCACTTAGCACAAAATTCCACCTGCCTTGGGGACTGGAGCAATAGCACAGCAGGTAAGGTGTTTGCCTTGCACGTGGCCGGCCCGGGTTCAATTCCCAGCATCCCATATGGTCCCTTGAGCACCGCCAGGAGTAATTCCTGAGTGAAGAGCCAGGAGTAACCCCTGTGCATCGCCGGGTGTGACCCAAAAAGGAAAATAAATAAATAAATAAATAAAATAAAATTCCACCCGCCTCTGGTGGCTGAGAATACTGGTTTGGCCTGAGCCTGTACTCCTGTGTCACCTCTTCTGATGCTTGCTGCTCCTCCCCTGGTCTCCTGGCTTGTGTTCTGTTCTTAAGAAACATCAAGCTCTTTCTCATTTTCCAGGCTCACTTCCCACTTGCTGTTCCCTTTCGACCTGTAAAGCTCCCGTGTCCCCTATTTCTCTGCGTGACAACTCTGTTAGCTAGAGTTCCTCTTACTCTGTGGAGCGTGGCAACAGACTCCAGAGCAGATAAGATCTGTCCCTGCATAGCAGGTAAGACCTGTCCCTGCATAGCACCGAGTTGGGAGTGCCTGGGCGCCATTTACAAGCACCAGGTATCCGGCCTTGAGTCTCACCCAACCTTCCAAGAATTGTCACCTACCCCTCAAGAGTCATTCCTAACTGCAGCATCTTGGCCTAGTTGGGATTGGGCTGGGGCAAAGCAGAGTTGGAAAGGTGATAGGTCAGTAAAGCTAAACTTTATGTGATTGGACCATCCTCTTAAGCCGAGACCCTCTATAAAATATGTGTACTTGGCAGTAAAGTGAGCGGCCATCAGCTGTCTTCCGGAGTGGCTTCTCTGAGCACCCGTCACCCTTTGCCCCACGTCTGCCCAGACTCAGTGCACAACATGTCCGGGCACCTGGGGAAAAACTGTTCCCCAACATTACTCCTTCTCAAAAAAGGTTTCCATGGGTGCCCATTTGAAGCAAGCAACCTTTCATGAACACGGAGCCTGACTTCTTTATACACATAGGTCACTAGTATTTGTATTATGATCTGTGTCCCCAGTTGGAACATCAGCTGAGTCGCTGCCATCTAGTGATAGATTTTTTTTTTTTTGGTCTTCCTTTTCCTTTTGCATCCGCAACCAATGTGGTTTCACACAGGATATTAAACGCCTCAGGAGCTCCTTGCTTGGGGAACAAATCTCTTCAGCAGAAAAGGTCACCACAGCGGAAATAACATAAGCTGGATCTTAACCATATTCATTATATGTAACAGGATAAAAGAAAAGGGTGGGCGGAGGACACGGAGGACAGAGATTCCTGGGAAGCAAGGTCAGCCAGGCGGAACCTGCAGGAGGGCAGCACTGTGAAGTAACGCGGGAGATGGCGGGGAAGAGCGAGGCCCTGGCCACGGAGACAGAGTCTTATGCACTGTCAGAAAGGCTGGACTTTATCCAAGAATCCATGGAAAATCGGAGGTTTTTACCAGAGGAAAAGATATGCCTTAAATTTTAAAAATAGGGGCCGAAGCAATAGTACCGTGGGTTGGGCATTTGCCTTGCATGCAGCAGGGTGGGGTTCAATCCCTTTACCCCAATCCCCCCCCATAGTGCTGCCAGGAGTGATCCCTGAGTACAGAGCCAGAAATAACCCCTGAACATAGTTGGGGGTGACCCCAAAACAAAAAGAGAACAAAATTTTAGAAATAACACTCGACAGCAATGTGCAAGAATACAGAAACCCGAAGTTCTTGATGTCTCTGAATTAAAAACCAATCAAAACAATAAAACCACACAATTTGCTTCAGTATCTCTCCACCTGTTGGTTCCTGTTAAGTATCGCAGTTCTTTCTATATATTGACTACATAAAATTTGTTATCTGCAACTGAATCATGTAAATAAAATTTACATGTCTGTCTTCTGTAGGGCCAGAGAGGAGGACAGTAGGTAAAAGCATTGGCCTTGCACACGGCCAACCTGAGTTCGGTTCCTGAAATCAGTTTCCTGAGCACTGCCAGGAGTAACCCCTGAGCACAGTCAGGCACTGCCCAAACATCAAAAAAGAAAAAAATAGTCTGTCTTTTAAACATACCTGGATAATAAACTTTTTTCCCATCTGTCTTGTATACAACCATTGTGATAAATTCTCGATTATTTGCAAAATCATCCTAAAAGGAAAAAAAAATACAATCAGGAACATGGGCTTAATAAATAAAATTTCTGTGAAATAAAATTAATTCTGTGAAATAAAATTAATTCTGATTTGAAGAGTATTTTATGGCTGTATAGTCCTATAAAACATTTTCCCCCCAATTAAACTCATTTCAACAGCAGAATACATTATAGGAAGTAATGCATTAAATGACACTGTGAAGCTACTATGATTGTCACAGAATTTGGACCAACAACTTAACATTTCTGAAACCCTTTCAGCATATTTTTTATGAAAATATCCTTAAGCTCTAAAGAATACTTAATGTCCAAACACTCACGAGAAAGTAGAAACTCAGACCAGGGATGCGGCTCAGTGTGAGGCCCTGGGCTTGATTATTGGCATTGAAAAAGATTTAAAAAATTTAAAGTCATAAGCTTTCTCATGTTTTTCTTGAGATGATTTTGAACAGGATGATTTTATAACATTCCAAGTGTATGGTCACAAATTATAAATTTACTTAAAGGAAAATATTCATTTAGCTAAGAAAGCACCATTTTCAAGTAACATATAAACAACCAGTTGAGGGTCAAATTATGTATCTCATCCACACTGGTCTAATTATAGTTACAGAATTTCAGTATGAAGTAAGTACCACAGAAAGGGTAACAGTACCTTGTCTGTTATGTGTCTACTAAGCAAAACCCAAACTGCAGCGCCCCCTTGTGGACATTGCACCTCTAGTTTGTACTGGGGGTTGTTGGCCAGGCTATAGGCATCTTTCACAGGTCCTTGCTTAGCATCCCAAGTACTAAAAAATAAAGTCAACAGAGAAAATAGCCATTCAATTTTCCATAAAACCAAAATACAATACTATTAAAAATGGGTTGTATTTTAAATAAAAATATTACCGATTTTTGTCATAACCAAGAGGTATACAAATTAACTCTTAACAACAGTCATGTGTGGGCATGAACAAAGTACCTGTTTTCCCATATTAACTATTACACTTTACATGAGAAAAGTAAAGTCCATATTAAAGCATATCGTAGATGTGCAAGGAATTACCTGTGAATACAAGTTGATTCTTTAAAAAGACCTGGATTCCAACTCAAATAAATTACATCATAATACTGGCAGAGATCATCCCATGAAATCCAGAAAATCCCTAAAAATTATAGTTCTTTGTTAATATACAAAGTATCTTAATGATACATGACAAATATAAGTTATTTTACATTGATACAACATTAAAGATTAAATGGCACTGAAATTAGAAACAGAAACTTACCATTGTCTATTTTCTGTGCTGTTCGAGGATCAAAGTTTAAATATTTTTGTAACTCTGGAGTCCAATTTTTTACATCATTCTCACTATACCTTCCTTTCCATCGTAAATGACTCCAAGGATTCTTCAACTGGATAAATCGCAGTCCCTAATTTAAAAGAAATAAAAATTTAAGAGAGGTACCAGAGTTGTAAAACAGTTTGCCATGATTTTATTATTATTTTCTCTATAAAGGGCTGCATCAAAATTCTTCTTTCCAAATCAACTTGATTTCCAAATCAAATATTCTTTACAGTGCTTTATTTTTTCCCAGGTCGATGTCTAATATAATGTTTTTAACTGGGGAGGGTGGGGGTTCAGGAGATGGCTCGGAGGGTTGGAGCTTATTATTTCCATGCGGGGAGACCTGGGTTTTACCCCCGCACCAAACGACCACCCAAGCATGGCAGGGCACAATTCAAGCACCACACTGGGAATAGCCTGGTGTGGCCCCAAAACAAATAAAATAAACGGCTATGCTGCTCATAGGGGTACTAACCACATGTGATTACGAAAAGAAAATTTCCTGATTCACTTTCTCAGCAGCCACTCCAGCCACATTTCAAGACTTTAAAGACCATGAAGACTTAGTAGCCAATGCACTCGAAACAGAACATTCTCTTGATTGCAAGTTGCTCTAATAGACAGCTGCCCGGGAACATCAGGCTCTTCCTGTGTGTTATTCTACTCTGTCTGCTCTGCCGTGTGGGCGAGATACTCTCAGTAGGTTGCCAGGCTCTCCAAGAGGGGTGGAGGAATTGAACCCGGCTCAGCTAATAAACACTGGTTATCTGGAGAACTTACTTCAATCAGTCTACTTAGGAAATCGTATTCTTTTCCTATCAGCCAGACTCATCACAAAGATAATTTCTTAATTTCTTATCACTGTCTCCCACTGTCTCTGTCCTGCATCAGCCCAATAGAAAATTCATTTCTTCTTTTCAAAAAGCCTAGTTCTAAGAAGCAGGGATCCTGGCTTATTTTAGGACTCTAAGTAGCTTTTCCAAGGCAGGTCCCAGGCACCAATGACATTCATTAATTTGAACCTGCAGGTTTTGTTTGGACACAGAACTAAAGAATTCAGGCCCTAAAAAAGAAAAGAAATGCTAGGGAACTCCTAAAAAAATGGTGAATTTTATATCCAAATACTTCATTTCCAAAGCCACTGCTAACAGGCAATGAAAGAAAACCCTTGGCTAAATTCAGTGGTTCAGTAGACCCTTGAGCGTAAGCAAGGTCTCCACTTACTGATGAACAACATGAAGTGGAGATGTACCTTCACAACAGAGTGGCATGTCAATCCATGGAAAAGACCCAAAACATTAAGACTAAAAGGATGCTTTAGCAGGACTAAGAGGCCTTGCATGCAGCCAGCCCGGCTGAGCCGGGTTCAATTCCTCCGCCCTTCTCGGAGAACCTGGCAACCTACTGAGAGTATCTCGCCCTCACGGCAAAGCCTGGCAAGCTACCTATGACATACTCAATATGCCAAACACAGTAACAAGTCTCAATATGGAGACGTTACTGGGCCCGCTTGAGCAAATTGATGAACAATGGGAGGACAGTGTTTACTGTTTACAGTTTTTTTATATATATATATATATATATACACACACACACACGTGTGTGTATCTACATACATATATACATTATATTTGTATCTATATTTATTATCTCATATCTATGAGACTGGGAAGCAGCTTTAGTCTATGAGGCTTAACTATACAGAAGAGGTTCTACAATAAATGCTTGAAAGAGATAAATATGAAAACATTTTAAAGTAAAGAACTGAAGAAGTATCTCAACATGCAGACTGCAGGACCAGAGAGAGGCAGAGCAGGCAGGGTGCCAACCTTGCACATGGTTCCATCCCTGGTCCCATGTAACGATCCCCTGAGCTCACCAGAAGTGGTTCCCGAGCACAGCCGGTGTGAACCAAATACCCACCTACCCCTAAAAAAAGAATTAAGACTGAAAAAAATAACATGATGATGATTAAATTCAGGAAGCCCTCCAAATACACATCCAATCAAAATATTGAAGAAATCTGACATGAATTTTCATGTCAATTCATGAAGAAGTCGCTAAGTAAGATCACCCCAAAGCATTCATGAAAACGAGAGAAAGTAGGGCGAGTCCACACTGGGCAATACTGTTCTGATCAGTTACTATCCTAAAATTATGATGCGAACATGTCCTGTGAATAGACCACCACTTACTCCAGCTATAGTGCTCTAGACAGCCTCACTCTTTACAGAATAGCTACTGTGAAGAATAATCCCATGGGAATAATGCTGCTGATTTTTCAAAGGCTATTATTTGAAGTTCTGATGTTGCTGCTGTTTTGTAATTTTTATTATTGGGGGCTGTCACTGTTACTGTCACTGTCCTCCCGTTGTTCATCAATTTGCTCGAGCGGGCCCAGTAAAGTCTCCATTGGAGACTTTTGTTGTTACTGTGTTTGGCATATCGAATACATCATGGGTAGCTTGCCAGGCTCTGCCGTGCGGGCGAGATACTCTCGGTAGCTTGCCGGGCTCTCTGAGAAGGGTGGAGGACTCGAACTCGGGTCGGCCATGTTGGCTGCATGCAAGGCAAACGCCCTACCGCTGTGCTATTGCTCCAGCCTATTATTGGGGGCTAGGCCCAATAATTAAATTTGGGCCATACTGGAGGTGCTCAGGGCTTACTCCTGGCTCTGTGCTCAGAGATCACTCCTAATAGTGCTCAGGGTACCATATGGGGTACTGGGGGTTGAACATGGGTTGGCGGCATGCAACACAAAGGCTTCATCCAATGTACTATTTCTCTGGCTCCAGCAATTAAAAACATTTTTTTTTCAAATTTTGGTTTTAACCATAGGTAATGGTGCTGAGGATGTGACTTGTAGAAAAGTGCAGACCTCACATGTCTGAAATCCTAACTTTAATATATGGCATCACAAAAATCATAAAATAAAACAGAGAATTATATCCTGGGGGAAAATATGAAAACAAGTCACTAAAATTTTGGTACCTCAACAAAAACAAAAGAAACACTTGTGCCTATTTTTCTCATAAGCATGCTTTTTGTCCAATTTCTCTCGAACAATCAGATCAGAGTCTTATGCAAATGTGCTCTATGAGAACTTTTCCTCAAATCTAAACTTGCTTTCCCATGATATTATTTAACATTGTCATTACTTCACTTATGCATTAATATCGACCCTACAGGATGTTCTAACAACATACACATAGGTAAGTCATAAGTTATGTTCTGCTATTGGTGTTTCTGGCAACTTGAATTTCTAATAAAAACTACTAGCTTATTCAATTTCACACTTTCTGCTTTATGTAATCAATTTTATTCCAGGAAAACAAACTCTCTACACATATCACTGGCGGGGGTGGGGGGAGGAGGTGCACCAGTGCCTGATCTGGAAGCCTTTCAAATGCTATGGCAGGACCATATTGTCTTCATGAAACTCCAGGGACCACACATTAAAATTCAGTCTAATTCCAGCTGGTCCCTGGTGGCTGCTGAATCTGACTGATCACCACTTCCTTCTATAAATGTAAGCAGAAGCAAATGGAACACACCGGGAAACTTCCCTGTGACTAGGGAGTGTAGGTAATATATTACCAGAGAAAAGGAATTACCCCCTTCATCTCTGGTCTTTTCAAATCATAAGACAAATACACTTTTCAGTGATAAATAACTAACCCCTGACCGGAGAAGTCATGACGCTGATTGTTCTGGTAACTCAGTACAGAGAATAGGCACACCCGAGATAGCTCAGGGGCTATCCGGAAGAGCAGCACCTGCAGCTCCACTGTTTCTCATCTGAAGGCATCCTCTGCATTTCCACAGACTATGCCACAGTCTACGCCAGGCTCCATTCTGCCCAGAGCAGCCCTGTGCACTCACCGCGACCCAAGGCACTCATGCAAATGAGATAAACAGTATTCCCAGCAATAGCTGTGCTATCACTCTTTCTGTTTCCCATCCTTTCAGATTTTCTATCAGCAGAGGTCAATGTGCTTAATTTATTAGGTGGAATGACTTTTAAACTTCACCTGGACCTCAACTTGACAGTGTTAAAGCATCCCCAATTAAATTTGGGGCCCTTGCAATGTTATTATCAACTAAGAGAGGAAAGATGAAGGCGAGACCTTAAACTCTCGAATATCCAGCACAGCGTATGCGTGTGTGGGAACCAGACCCCACTTCTCTCCTTCTGCTTCAGTCATCATTCCAGTGGAGGCGGTGATAAGCACATCCCCTTTGTGAAACCTGCAATGACCCCAGGGACAAATTATTAAAGAAAAGCACTTTTGTAACCTCATGCCACATCACCTCTCATCTAATGTGCTGACAAGAAAGTTGCCACAAAACTGCAAACTTTTTTTTAAAAATGGGGTTCACTTCTATTTCCTACATATCAGAAAAATCATCACTTCTCACATCTCACTTCAATGCTAATTTAAATCTATCAATGAAGAAAAGCAAACATGACATTTTCAAGTGGTTTATACAGATAAGGTTGATGTGAAATGCAAAATGCACACCCCCAAAAGCAATGCTGTTTTATGAAACTGCTCAATTTTCTAGCTTCACTACTGAATGTATATTATTGTATAGATAATTTTCCATTCCTACATGTGCCTTATCCATTTAAGGCTTAAACTACCTTCTTCTTTATGACTGTCTTTTTCTCATCTTCCCTTAAACTGGTAAATACTCAGGAAGTGAAAAACAATTTTTCCATATTACAAACTGGGACATCCTCATTCAAATGTTTTAGAATCTCTACAAGCTGGATTAACTGCTGCCATCATAACTGAGGACTGATTCAGGGAAGTAACTAGTGTGAAATCTATTTTTACAAACCCAGTTTCCTGTGGCATATTTACACACTAGAACACTACTCAGCTACAGAATAGATAAAATATTGCCTTTTGCTACAACCTGTTTGGAACTAGAGTGGGTGACACTAACCGAAATCAATCTAAGGTAGGACAAATACCAGATGACTCGTTCACATGCTGTGTAGAAAGAAATGAAGCGAGGCAAACCATAAAAAAACACACCCTTGGACTTTGACTATAGACCTGAGGTCACCACGCTGTGGGGAAGGGGGTTGGGCAGAGGGAGATAAGAGGCAAGGGCCTTTGGCATTCTGGTGGTGATGGAGGGGGAGTACCTTTGTACACCACAAGCATAAACACTAACTATAACCATGTGACCCCAACTCTAATACGTATTGAAGTAATATGAATAAAACCACAGGTTTCCTAATAACTGAAAATTGACAGTCTTTGCAATCCACTGTGAAGAAGGCATGGAGTTTGAAAACGGTCCTTCACAAAAGGAGGAAGGGCACTTGCCTCTGGTAGAGCATCCGGAAGGAGCTGTCCTTACTGAAGGTCTGGCTATCCGAGTGCATAGCTATCCTCTCTGGGATCCACCCGGTCAGCGCGTGAAGGTCAATGTTCTACAACAGAACTACACGTCAGGGTTGTCACATTGTTTTTCAGCTCACAAATAAACCCCATGAAGAGTTAGTACACCTCAGTGGCTTGATACAATGGTGGAGGCAGAGGGTTGCTGAGGGCCCCTCGAGCAGTGCTCCAGGGGTCCTGCGGTGACTCCTAGTATGACTTGGTCAACTGAGGGCTGAGGATATGGAGCTGTGTGTAGTCCCCGCAGGGGACCACTTGGTGGAGCTCAGAGGGTTCCAGAACATGCAGAGGCTGTGAACCTGACCACTGAGCCATCTTCTCAGCCTCTGATAGAATGATTTTGAAAGAATAAACCAGAAGATGATCCATGCTCTTCTACTAGAAATAAACTTAGGGATTTAAATGTTAGCTAATATTTTTCTGACTATCTATGCTGTTTTTCTTGAATACAACAAAACCATTTTTCCCTTGATAAATAGGATGAAAACTCAAAAAACCTAAAAGAAATAAATTGCTGAAATGTTGATATAAAAATAATGACAAGCCCTCATTAGTGAACTCTTACAATTTACTTTCTTTTCTAATACCTAACATATACATTCATTCTTTCTCTAATCTTTGGTGGATAAATTAACAGAAAATGGATTAGAATGCTAAACTAAAAAATTTTCAAGGATAGAGCAATGGAACATGCAGGCATGGAAGAGTTACATCTGACTGTGAGCTAACACTGTCTAGCATTATAAAAGCCAGAAGAGGAAAAGCTGCCTGATTCTAAGGTTGGGAAACTAACCAGGGATGAACAAAGGACGTTTTTCATATACCACTTCACTTATTACAATTTTGAGAACCAGGTATTAAACTAGAATATATAATATATATTATGCATGTATTTAATATATATGCCATCTTATAAGACATGCACGGACTAAAAATGATTAAATGTCTTTTCTAAGACATCCTCCACCCAGATCCTCCAAATTCCAGTAGGCGGGGGTCACACCCACCAACTGGCCCCCTGGCACCATGTAATCCCATCAACGGCCAAGACTCAGAGACTATAAAACCCAGCTCCCAGCATTCGCGGCCGCGCGACATCTTATTATGACATTTTATTATCTCATTCCTACTTTGGACAAACTGGCAGGCTACCAAATGTAACCTGCCCACACAGCAGAGTCTGGCAAACTCCCTGTGGCGTACCCAATATGCCAAATACCAATAACAATGATGGGTTTCATTCTCCTAACTCTGAAAGAGCCTTGAATATGGCACTTTTTTAAAAATCTCAGGGCTAGGACGAAGGAGACGTTACTGGGACCTGCTCAAGGCAATCGACGAATAAAAGGATGGTCGTCTTTTCTAAGATCATAGGCTGGTGAGTGCTATAATTCAAAGATGTGCTGCTAATTTTGAGCAGTACTTTGCTGCTCAAAAATTTGTAAAATATGAGCTAGTATTTTACCCATTAAAACTAAAGAACTTTGGTAGAGAACTCAATTTTAAAGTTGGGTTAGAGGTGGGGAAAACTAACATGCAAAAAACTCCTTGATTCTGAATTTATGAAGAAAAAAATATGTACATAAAATGACAATAATATATGACACCTTTAATCTGAAGATTCTTCAGAAAAAGTATATGCAATATACAGTAATACTATAATTAATAGGATATTTAATTGGACATGTATCCTAATCTCATAGCACTGTAGCACTGTTCTCCCGCTATTCATCGATTTTCTCGAGGGGGCACCAGTAACGTCTTCATTGTGAGACTTGTTACTGTTTTTGGCTTATTGAATACTTCATGGGTAGCTTGCCAGGCTTTGCTCTGTGGGCAGAATACTCTCGGTAGCTTGCCGGGCTCTCAGGAGGGGCAGTAGAATCGAACCGAGGTCAGTCACGTACAAGGCAAATGCCCTACCCGCTATGTCATCGCTCTGGCCCATCCTAATCTCTTTGTAGCATTTAACATTTTAGGTTTTCGTAGGATGAAAGCCTAAAATGAATACAATACAAAACCCTTATAAAAGAAACTGTGTGCCCATATAACATGAGAACTGAAGGAAATATTTCAGGGTTGACCATCTGTTCTCTTCTCCATGAAAAAGTATCATTCACGCTATTTCACACTTAAAACAATCACGTGAGGCCCTCTTCACTCCTGACCTGACGGCGGCGCCCATCTCATCTTAATTCCAGGTCAGAACAGCTGCCGGCTCGCGACCCTGGGACCTCCATCTTTCCCTGCAGGACCCCAGGTGTCCCCCGAGATGCCTGAAGAGAAGCAGTTTTGAGCGTCTGCCCTGCCCTCTTCACTCCTGACCAGACGGCGGCGCCCATCTCATCCCAAACCCAGGGTTCTGTAGAGGCGTGGCCTCCTCAAAAGTGGGCATGGCCTCAAAAGTGGGCGTGGCTTAATTTCCAGCAGGCGGCCGCTAACGCGGCCGCAGGTTGTTCTCCCATACTAAATAACCTAGTCCCCAGGGAATCTAGTAACCCAACCTACTCAGCAATATGAAGAAACAAAGAAAATCTCCAACACAAGAGGAGAACAACGAAAACAATCTAGACCATTCTGTCAATACAGCTCACCTAAGGGACCTCTCTGACGTAGAATTCAGGTACGAAGTCATGAAGATGTTCAATCAACTCAATGAAACAGTCAGACAGACACCCAGTAACACCACAGAAAAAATCGACAAATTACGAGAAGAAATGAGGGCAGAAATGTCACGATTAAAAGATTCCATAGATGAAATGAGAAATTCAGTTTCTTCTCTTAAAAATAGAATGACCACAGCTGAAGAGAGAATCAGTGACCTGGAAGATCAGCTGCAACAAGCCAACACGCAACAACAAACAGTGGCAAGGGACCTCAAAATGGCTCTACAGAGAATCAGAGTCCTAGCAGATGACTCCAAGAGGAACAATATTAGAATCATGGGACTACCTGAACCTCAGGGAAACAATCCCAACGAAAAAAACACCGTCAAACAAATCATTGCTGAAAACTTCCCAGAGCTGCACAATGCAGCCATTCAGGTTCAAGGAGCCCGAAGGGTGCCAGCTAAAAGAGACCCCAACTAAAACACTCCAAGACATATCATACTTAGAATGATCGATACTGCCGATAGAGACACAATACTGCAAGCAGCAAGAGCGAAGAAGGAAATCACATACAAAGGAGCATCCCTTAGATTCACAGCAGACCTATCAGAGGAAACCCTACAAGCCCGAAGGCAGTGGCGAGATATAGTTAAAAAACTCACGGAAATGAATGCTTCCCCAAGAATACTCTACCCGGATAAACTCTCCCTCAAAATCGAAGGAACAGTACACTATTTTATAGATAAACAGCAGCTCAGGAACTTCACAGACTCAAAACCAAACCTAAAGCAAGGTCTAAAGGGGCTACTATAAGAAAAGACAAACCCTACAACCACAACACACCCGCACAGAAACATGACACAAAACCCCATAACCATTCTCTCTCTCAATGTCAACGGTCTAAATTCACCAGTTAAGAGACACAGAGTGGCAAAATGGATACAGAGACAGAACCCAACATTCTGCTGCCTACAAGAAACTCATCTCAACAGCCAGAACAAACACAGACTCAAAGTCAAAGGATGGAAAACAATCCTGCAAGCAAACAGCCCCTTCAAAAAAGCTGGGGTGGCCATACTAGTATCCGACAACATTAATTTCACCTTGAAAAAGATTAGAAGGGACAGTGAAGGCTATTTTCTCTTCATCAAGGGATACGTACAACAGGAAGAAATCACACTCTTAAATGTATACGCACCTAATGAGGGAACAGCTAAATATTTAAAACAACTGCTAACAGATTTTAAGGAGGACATCACTACCAACACAATAGTACTTGGAGACTTCAACATCGCTTTATCACCTCTGGATAGATCAACAAGAACAAAACCCAGCAAGGAATTACTGGCTTTGAAAGAAGTAATAGAAGAGAAAGGGTTTATGGACTTATACAGGGCTTTACACCCCAAAAAGAAAGAATACACATTCTTCTCCAGCGCGCACGGAACATTTTCCAAAATAGACCATGTGCTAGGACACAAAACATACCTCAACAGAATCAAGAAGATAGAAATAGTATCAGCCATCTTTTCAGACCATGATGCACTGAGGATAGAAGTGAATCACACACAGACACGGAGAACCAAATCAAACACCTGGAAATTAAACAACTCGATGCTGAACAATGAGTGGGTCAGGAACGAAGTCAAGGATGAAATCAAAAGATACCTGGAAACAAATGAGAATGAAGACACAAACTACCAGAACTTATGGGATGCAGCGAAAGCTGTATTAAGGGGAAAATTTATAGCTCTGCAAGCCTATCTTAAGTCAATAGAAATGATGCACATAAACAATTTGACCTCATAGCTCAAGACCTTAGAAAAGGATCAACAGAAAGAGCCTAAATCAGGCAGAAGGAAAGAGATCATAAAACTTAGAGCAGAAATCAACGACATGGAAAACAAAGAAACAATCCGAAAGATCAATGAAACCAAGAGCTGGTTCTTCGAGAAAATAAATAAGATAGATAAACCACTAGCAACACTGACAAAGAAACAGAGAGAGAGAACCCTAATAAATCGAATCAGAAATAAGAATGGGGATATCACAACAGAAACTAAAGAAATTCAAGAGATCATCAGAGACTACTTTGAAAGTCTGTATGCCACGAGAACCTGGAAGAAATGGATAAATTCCTGGATTCCTACCATCTCCCAAAGCTGAATCAAGAAGATATAGAGTACCTGAATAGACCTATTCACATCAAGGAAATTGAAACTGTAATCAAAAGTCTTCCCAAAAACAAAAGCCCAGGCCCAGACGGATTTACTAGTGAATTTTTCCAAACATTTAAAGAGGACCTATTGCCAAGTCTTCTCAAGCTTTTCCAGGAAATTGAAAAAACAGAAACTCTCCCAAACAGCTTCTATGAAGCCCATATCTCTCTAATACCAAAAGGAAACAAAGACACCGCAAGAAAAGAAAACTACAGGCCAATATCCCTGATGAACACAGATGCGAAGATTCTCAACAAAATACTAGCCAATAGAATACAACAACTCATCTAAAAGATCATACATCACGACCAAGTGGGATTCATCCCAGGGATGCAAGGATGGTTCAACATTGGGAAATCAATCAACATAATCCATCATATCAACAAAAGAAAAGATAAAAATCATATGATCATATCAATAGACGCAGAGAAAGCTTTTGACAAGATCCAGCACCCATTCATGATGAAAACCCTTGCCAAAATGGGGATAGAGGGGACTTTCCTCAATATAGTTAAAGCCATCTACCACAAACCTACAGCAAACATCATCCTCAATGGGGAAAAACTGAGACCCTTCCCCCTAAGGTCAGGGACGAGACAAGGATGCCCACTCTCTCCACTACTGTTCAATATAGTACTGGAAGTACTTGCAATAGCGATTAGGCAAGAAAAAGATATTAAGGGCATCCAGATAGGGAAAGAAGAAATTAAGCTCTCACTATTCGCAGATGACATGATACTATACTTAGAGAACCCTAAAACCTCTACCAAGAAACTCCTAGAAACAATAGGCTTGTATAGTAAAGTGGCAGGCTATAAAATCAATACCCAAAAATCCATGGCATTCCTATACGCAAATAGTGAAAGAGAAGCAAGTGACATCAAGAAAACAATCCCATTCACAATTGTGCCCCAGAAAATCAAGTATCTAGGAATCAGCTTAACTAAGGAAGTAAAGGACCTGTACAAAGAAAACTACAAAACGCTACTTCAGGAAATAAAAGAGGACACGAGGAAATGGAAAAATATCCCCTGTTCATGGATGGGGAGAATCAACATCATCAAAATGGCAATACTTCCCAAAGCACTGTACAAATTCAATGCAATCCCTATAAGGATACCCATGACATTCTTCAAAGAAATGGAGCAAACACTCCTGAAATTTATATGGAACAATAAGCCCCCACGAATAGCTAAAGCAATTCTTGGGAAAAAGAAAATGGGAGGAATCAACCTCCCTAACTTCAAACTCTACTACAAGGCAGTAATAATTAAAACAGCATGGTACTGGAACAAAAGCAGAGCTGCTGACCAATGGAACAGAGTTGAATATACTGACATTTCCTCCCAAACATATAATCATCGAATCTTTGATAAGGGGGCAAGAAAAGTGAAATGGAGCAGGGAAAGCCTCTTCAACAAACTGTGCTGGCAAAATTGGACGGCTACATGCAAAAAAGTGGGCTCAGATCTCTGCCTAACACCATGCACAAATCACTTATCACTGAATCACTTAACTTCCCGTTAGTCGTCGATTTGCTCGAGCGGGCGCCAGTAACGTCTCCATTTGTCCCTGTCGCGTGCTAGTGTAGCCCAATGGCATCTCTTCGCTCCGGGAACATGGAGGGCCTCAAACCGATCGTTCATGATCTTGACGAAGAAGTCTGACCATCTGGTAGGTGGGCGGCCACGCGGTCTCTTGACATCCCGTGGAATCCAATCAGTAACAGCTCTAGTCCAACGGTCGTCTTTAAATCTCATTACGTGACCAGCCCATCTGATTTTCGACACCTTGGCATATGAGACAGCGTCCCTGATCCTTGATCGTCGACGGATGTCAGAACTCCGGATTCGTTCTCTCATTTGAGTGAAACGTGATATTCCAAGCATAGCTCTTTCTATTCTTCTGTGGGAGACCTGAATGGCGTTCTCATCTTGTTTGCGTAGGGCCCAGGTCTCTGAGGCATATGTTAATGCAGGAAGAACAGTGGAATCAAAGAGATGTGCCCGGAGCCGGAGGTTCTTCGTCCTCTTAGCTATTTCTTCGACGTTCTTGAAGGCGTTCCAAGCCGCTCTCTTCCTCCTGCGCAGCTCGGGTGCCAGGTCATTTCTCATGTTGACCTCTCGACCTAGGTACACATAGCTGTTGCATTTGGAGATGGTCGTTCCATTGAGAGCGAATGGGGCGTCAGGAACAAGGCTGTTTCTCATAAACATTGTCTTCGTAAGATTCAGCTGTAGTCCTACCTTTCCACACTCACGGTCAAAGTCGGCCAGCATTTGTGCCGCTTGGCTGATGTTTGGTGTTATTAAAACAATGTCATCAGCAAAGCGGAGGTGGTGTAGTTGCCGACCATCTATCTTCACTCCCATTCCTTCCCATTCCAGTCGTCGCATGATGTTCTCGAGGGTGGCACTGAAGAGTTTCGGTGAAATAGTATCACCCTGCCGCACCCCTCTCTTGACATCAACGATCACTTCTTTGTAGAATGGTGAGATCCTGGTAGTGAATCCGCAATACAGCTCACGGAGGATCCTGATGTATTGGGCTTGAATGCCCTGATTGGCTAGGGCTTCAATGACCGCTTCCGTCTCAACAGAATCAAAGGCCTTCTTTAAATCAATGAACGTTAAGCAGAGCGGCATCTTGAACTCCCGAGAAACCTCAATGAGCTTGGTTACCGTGTGGATATGGTCGATGGTGCTGAATCCTTTGCGGAACCCTGCTTGCTCGCATGGTTGTCCTTCATCTAGTGTTCTGCCAATCCTATTCAGGATGACTCGAGTGAACAGCTTGTAGATGACAGACAATAGGCAGATCGGGCGATAGTTGCCAATGTCATGGATGTCTCCCTTCTTGAACAGTAGTACGGTCCTGCTGGTTTTCCACCATGCACAAAAGTAAGATCAAAATGGATTTATGACCTCAACATCAGACCAGAATCCATAATGTTTATTGAAGACAAAGTCGGCAAAACTCTCCATGATATTGAAGCTAATGGTATCTTCAAAGATGTCACGCCACTGGCCGAGCAAGTGAAAACAGAGATAGACAAATGGGACTATCTTAAACTAAGAAGCTTCTGCACCTCAAAAGAAACATTGACCAAAATACAAAGACAGCCTACAGAATGGGAAAGGATATTCACCAAGTACACATCCGACAAGGGGTTGATATCAAGGATATACAAGGTACTGGTTAAACTCCACAAGAAGAAATCATCCAACCCCATCAAAAAATGGGGTGAGGAAATGAACAGAAACTTTCGCAAAGAAGAAATTCGAATGGCAAAAAGGCACATGAGAAAATGCTCTACATCACTAATCATCAGAGAGATGCAGATCAAAACCACAATGAGATATCATTTCACACCACAGAGACTGGCCCACATCCACAAGAACAAAAGCAACCAATGCTGGCGCGGATGTGGCGAGAAAGGGACCCTCCTTCACTGCTGGTAGGAATGCTGGCTGGTCCAACTCTTTTGGAAAACAGTATGGACGACTCTCAAAAAATTAGAATTTGATCTGCCATTTGACCCAGCTATAGCACTCCTGGGAATATATCCCAGAGAGGCAAAAAGGTATAGTCGAAGTGACATCTGCAATTGTTTGTTCATTGCAGCACTCTTTACAATAGCCAGAATCTGGAAAAAACCTGAGTGCCCAAGAACAGATGACTGGTTAAAGAAACTTTGGTACATTTACACAATGGAGTACTATGTAGCTGTTAGAAAAGATGAAGTTATGAAATTTACATACAAGTGGTACTACATGGAAAGTATCATGTTAAGCGAAATGAGTCAGAAAGAGCGGGATAGACACAGAAAGATTGCATTCATCTGGGGAACATAAAGCAACAAAAAGGGAGAGTAACACCCAGGAATGGCTGAGATTAGTACCAGGAATTTTGCTCCATGAATGGAAGGCCAGCCACAGGCTCTAGGTGAAAAGGAAGCTCAGATAGAGAAGAGAGTACCAAATGAAGGGTGTTGTGAGGGTCCTCCCAGGGTGGGAGAAGCATGCTAAAAGTAGTCGATAGACCAAACATGATTGCCACTCAAAGCCTCTCTTGCAAAACACAGTACCCAAAAGAAGAGAGAACAAGGGGGAATACCCTGCCACAGAGGCAGGATGGGATGGGGGGGGGATGAGGGGGGGGATGCTGGGACCCATGGGGATGGATGACGGGCACTGGTGGAGGGATGGGCACTTGATCGTTGTATAACTGAAACCCAAGCACAAAATTTGTAAGCCTATAACTGTACCTCATGGTTTTTCACTAATAAAAAAAGAAAAAAAAATCACGTGAGACAGCAAAAGTCTGTGCTGGATCACCGCGTTACTTACTGAGTTGGATCCTGGGAAATCATAGCCTCCCATAACTTTCATGTATGCTTTCTCGATGAGAGAAACCCACAATTCGCTTTTGTTGTTAGAGTAAGAACAGAGCAATTCTCCCTTGTGATCAACAGGTAACTGGTCATCAATGATCACCTAGAGAAAGAGAACATCATTTCCAGAAGTGGTACAAAGGAGTTTAAGGCCCTTCCTATCAACAAGTGGCGCAGTGTAGAGAATCTGCCCTGAGTGTGAGCTGGAGGGTCCAATCCAACACTGCCCCACACTCAGAGGGGGTCCCCGCAGACCCGCAACAGAGTGTAGGAGGGAGCACAGCACCCAAGGGTGCAGATGACCCTTTCCCCAAGCATGCAGCCCCTAATAGAACAGTGACAAAAATAAAGGGAAAAAAGTATTTTGTTCTGATGAAAAACACAATATGCCTTTTATTAAGGCAATCAATAACAGCTTCATGTTCTTAAAATCTGACCAATTATAAAATGTAATGGGAGATCTCTTTTATAATCTATTCTCACTACCTTACTTGATCTAACTGATCAAAAGTGATTAGATTAATGTTAATGGACTGCCCACAGAAATAAATTCTAGAAATATACATTATATCTAAGCCTTTAAATTTGCATTTCTTTAAGGACTCTGACCTATGTTGTATGGGTGATGCCTTGTTTGAATTCATCTACTTAGAGGTCAGAGTCCTTAAAGAAATGAAAGTAGTGTGATGATATGTGTAACATAACACATACATTTCAATTTTATGTGTAATATTTCACAAAATAAAACAGAACTTTAAAGTCTTTTTTATAATTCAAGTTTTGATATATGTAACCTCTTCTAGACCAACAGACTTAATTTGATATCCTATTAATAAAACAACTGAGAACTATCATACTGAAATTTATTTTAGGCATTAGCGATCACTAGGTTCAATGTTACCTTTTTGGAATTTTTGTTTTGTAAGTTAAGGAAGATAGCTTTTATTTAACAAAACTTGCTTAGAAAGATGTTAGAGGAGAGAAAGAGAGGAAATTCGTGCTCCAAAGAGAACATGGGCTTCTCCAGAGTGGAAAAAAGCAAGCAAAGAGATGCAGAGACAAGTGTGATCCATACTCAAGAGAGAGCCTGGACTTGAAGAGCAAGTCTGCATTCTATAAATGTTTCCAAAAACGTTTTAAGAAAGATAATACTAGTTTTGATTTTGACTAACATTATCATTGGCAGTAATGTACATAATATCACGGATTCGAAATCAAGTAAACTGATGTTTAAAATGTTTACACAAATAAAATTCCTTAAGAATTCCACTCCAGGGGCTGGAGCGATAGCACAGTGGGGAGGGCGTTTGCCTTGAAGGCGGCCGACTCAGGATCGATTCCCAGCATCCCATATGGTCTCCTGAGCACTGCCAGGAGTGATTCCTGAGTGCAAAGCCAGGAGTAACCCCTGAGCATTTCTGGGTGTCATCCAAAAAGAAAAGAAAAAGAAGAATTCCACTCCAGCAAGAAGGAAAAGTGCTTACTATAGAGGGAGGCTGGGGGTGAGGGCTGGGGGATGGTGATAGGGAAAAGGGGGACGCTGGTGGTGGGAAATGTACACTAGTGGAGGGATGGGGGATGGATCATTGTATGACTGCAACCCAATTATGAACAGCTTTGTAATGGTCTATCTCACGGATATTCAATTTAAAAATATTTTTAAAAAAAGTAATGTGGAGTTCATGCCCAATTTAATTAGCTTAATCAGTGGCTGAATAGCCGTACTCCTACATTAAAAAAAAAAATTCCACTCCAGATTCAAGGACAGGGAGGGAGAAAGAAAAAAGGCTGTGATGGGGAGAAGTAGCATTTACCTTTCTCGGGACACCATTGAGGTGAAGTTTTACCATATACTTTCCACAAGGATTGTACTCCGGCTCACCGTCCTTATTCTGAGGGTAAATTATGCTTTTGTAAGAAAAATAAATATTGAATTACAACATTAATATTCAAGATAAACTACTACGCATGCCAGAGAAGCATTTTATTTAGACAAGCTACTTCTTGCAATTTTATAAAGACATCAAATATAAAATGCCCTGTAACAGACCTAGAGAAAGAATATACATGCAGTAAGGAACACAAGGTGGTGGTAGAGCATTTGCCTCCCTTGCATGTGTGAGGCCCTGAGTCTGGCTCTCAACACGAAACACCCACAGCACAACACAGACATGGCAACACACACACACGTGGCATAAAACACACACACATACACACACACACAGGATTAATTCTAATTAAGGTGTTATGGTGCTTATTCGATATAAATGGAAGTGTCTTATAAGAACAATCTCACGGTTTTCTAAAAAGGTGCTGAATTTTTCATTATATACTGAAATACTCTATTATGTGGATGTTTAAGTCAACTAAAATACTCTTTTACAGGTCCCAGGAGCAAAAAAAGAGAAGCTGTTTTACCTACTGAACACAACTAAAGTGAAGAACTGCAACTCTGGCAGAAACCAAATTAGCATGATTCTAATAAAGCCACATACAACTATTCACTAAGAACTTGCAAAAACTATCAGTACCAATTTTCTTTCAATAATGTATATTATTTACTTATACAGTCTGCTTATCTAAAGGCAAATGGCTTGAAATTAAGATCTGTATGTATCTAATTCATCTCTGTACTCCTAGAACTTAGCACAGGAAAGACATCCAGGAAAAGTTTTGTGAAAACTTATAACGCTTACTTTGAGTTATACAAATTTTAAAAAATTGAAACAGTATTTTAACGTAACCTTTCAGTATATTCTAAAGTGGTTCTTAGCAGAAACTCAATTCATATTTTCCACGGATCATCTTAAAAATTGAAAAAGGTGATACTAACTTTACTCAATATATACAAAAGATTATTTTAACATAAAATGAGATATTTCCTTATTTATTTGTGAGCAGTTTTCAAAATCCAATGTCCTACTTTGTGTTCTTTGGGTCATCCCCAGCATTGCTTAGGGATCACTCTGGGCAACTTGCTCAAGGGTCGCCCCCGGTGGCACAGGCTGTGGCAGGGGGTGGGTCGCCTGGGTGGAGGGGACGCACGCATGAGGCACTGGGATTGAAAGTGGGTCTCCTGCCTTGAAAACGTGCACTTCAGCACTTGGCGCTGTCTCTCCAGCCCTCCAAATTTCATACTTACCACACCCATTTCAATTCAGACTAGTTTACGTGTTCAATATCCATATATTGAACCATGACATAAGAGTATATGACATTTTACTCTAATTTATTTATTTATTTCAAAATTTATTCCAATACATTTGTTACACATATATTAACTACATGTGCAGGTTCTTAAGAATATTTCAGAAAATTTTTCCATACCAACAAATCATTTGTTCAGTATACAAGGATGAGCATATACTGAGAGACAAACCAGCTTCCCTCTTTATAGGCTAAATTCTTAATTTTCAGTCATGAGACAATTACACGAAAGGGCTATCAGGATAAATATAAAAATTTACCTGGTAATCAACTTCTTATTAAACCGTCTCTCATAAGCTGCGCTGATAGCCAGTGAGGCCACGAAGGAACAATCTGACACTATTGTCTATTAATAAAATTAAGTAATATAGTCATTCACCCATTCACGTAATTTCAACTTTACAATATTCTGGTATTGCAACCTAATCTACACTAACGATCCCGACTGTTACTTATTACTGGTAAAACAGAAGAAATGCTACACTGCCAACTCACACATATTTCATTTAAATTCTAAAAAAAAATAAATATTTTCAATTAAATTGATAATTTAGGATAACAAAAACGAATAGTTTGATCCTTACATGGATAAAAGAAATGTAATGCATCACATTTTAAGGAAAAAAAATCAAAGGCATTTTTTTAAAAAGTTTGTCTGATTTAATGCACATCAAATATTCTTGTATCACTGCATTTTAGGAGTCTTATTTTTACACTAACTTGGAAGATATCTGTGCCTTTATTTAGTTTTCTTTTTCAGGTTTTTGGGACATACATAGTGGTGCTCGGAGGTCACTCCTGGCAGTGTTCATGTGATTTGCAGAGACCATTTGCAGTGCCAGACAATGACCTGGAGTTGGACGCATGCAAGGGAAGCAACTTATTCACTTTTTTTTAGTAGATTATAGGTAACACTTTCATATCTGTACAGTATCATATTTCTCTGACCCCCAATTTGCCTTTAAGTGCAAAACTAAAGTTTGAAATAAAGTCACATTGTTGTTTTATCACTTAAGTATTTCAAATAGGCCCAGAGGCTTTCATTTATATTTATGTTAGCAAAGGTGAAATTCAAATCCATCCTTACCCAACTGTAAGCACATATTGATAAATAGGGGTCTATATAGTCTGCAGTGCTCTTAATCATTCCTCATTCCTATATTATTTCAGTATGTCTAAATCAAAGTGTGCAGAATAAGTTATTTTTCAATTTTACATTTAAGCAACTGAACAAAAATTTAAAAAATAAAAACTTATATTAAAGTTATTTTTCATATAAAATTATACCAAAAAAGTGTTTACCTGCTTTATGCTAAAACTGGACACAGTATAAATCATTGTAGGATTATTGCTGAGGTCTTCCGGCCGTACCCATTTGGAAAATGTAGTTTTCTGTTTAGGTGATAATGGTAGTTTGCCCCATGTATCACTGAGATAATAACAAAACAAAAATTTTTTTTAGTCTTAAAAGATGATTTGAAACCAAAATGAAAATTCCTAGAGAATTTATGATTCAGTATAGTACCATAGATACACCCACATCATCCTAAAATAACTTTTCATATCTGGCTTTTTTACGCTTACCCGTGGAACAATCATCTATATATACCACACAGAAAATGAGAACAGAAGAGCAATCTAAATATATTTTTACTTACTTTAAGAATATCATCTAAAAGCTTGATTTAGCATGGCAAATTCAAGAAATTCCATTTCAGTGAAATGAAGCCAGTAACAACAATTAAAACTGATTCATTCAATGGAGCTAGAGAGATAGTAAGCAGGCAAGGCACTTGTCTGCACACATCTGATCTGGGTTCGATCCCCCTCCCCCCAAGCAGAGCTCTGAGCACTGTCAGGTGTGACACCAAAACCAACAAACCAACCAACCAAACAAACAAAGGACCAGGAGGTTTCAGATTCTTAGGCAGGCTTCTGATAAATCCATACAAGGCAAACAGATAATTACTATAGTTTAATATATATTAATTAGCATAATTACTGAGCAATAAACATGTGCTGGCATCATGCTCAAGTATTTTATGTATGTCATTCATTTAATCCTCAAAATACTATCAAAGCAAGTATATTTGGAAAAGACTTAGCGCTGCACTGCACTGTAGCACTGTTCTCCCATTGTTCATCGAATTGCTCAAGCAGGCCCAGTGATGTCGCCATTGTGAGACTTCTTGTTACTATGTTTGACATATCGAACACGTCATGGGTAGCTTGCCAGGCTTTACCATGCGGGCAAGACACTCTAGGTAGATTGCTGGGCACTCCGAGAGGGGTGGAGGAATTGAACCCGGGTCGGGTCGGCCGGGTTGGCTGCGTGCAAGGCAAATGCCCCACCCGCTGTGTTATCACTCCAGCCCTGGAGAAGACTTAAAGTGATAAAAACAACTTGCGAATATCATTTTAGATACTCATCCTACAGACTTCATAGAACCACTAAAACTCTACATCAGATCTGCTTAAACTCTAGGTCAGAAATGCTTAAACTTTTTAATTTGCAATTTCTTTTCAATGGAGAAAATTTTACACAACTTGGGTATATGAAATAGGCATACATAGCAAACATTTACTGATATAATAAATCACGAACTTATCTTCTTTTCTTAAAACAAATTTTCTGTGACTACCACATTCAATTATTGGGTTGTGGTCTACGGTTCTCGATTTCTCTTTCATCATAATGAGATGTTGGTGCATAGACAACGAAGATAGAAACTGCAGGCAGTGAGCCACATCTATTCAAATGTAAACGTCCGATTCAGGTTGTTAGGCATTCAAATGAATCAATGCTCATGGCCAAGTTTGTGTTGACAAGGACACTGACGCCTCCAACACCTCTTTTATCGCATGTTCCGAGGAACAATTCTTCTCCAGTGTCGAAAACGGCATGGTGAGATTCGTGCCTTCTTGTCTCGGTCAGACCAATGATGTCGTACTTGATCATTCGTGCTTGTACCATCAGGTCCTCGATGGATGCATCTGATGCTAGCGAACGTGCATTGAAAGTACAGACGATCATTTTTGTCTTCCTTAGTTGTGGCAGCCTAGTTCGGCCTTGAGATTTTGTTGGCCTCTCCTTTCTCATCCTTCTCAGTGCTGCCATGTCGGTGAAGCCTTCAGGGTCAGGTGAATGAGACCAGTTGTAGTGACTGGTTTTGGCATATCGAATACACAACGGATAGCTTGCCAGGAAATCGAGAAGTTCTACATGGAGCTGGAGAAGTTCTATAAAGAAGACCACACCTTCTATAAGATCATTGTGGGTGATTTTAATGCCAAGATAGGACCGAGAAGATGAGCTGAAGAACTTCACATCGGGACCCATGGCCTAGAATGGAATGAACAGGGTGAGAGACTATCTGAGTTCATCATGTCGACCAGGACCATCCATGGTAACTCACAGTTCCAGAAGGCAGAATCTAAACGTTGGACATGGGAGTCTCCCGGTGGATGATTCCACAACGAAATAGACCACATCATATTCAATCGACGGTTTTGCCAGACCGATGTTGCTGCTGTCCCAAAATTTTGAACGGGATCGGACCACCATCTCCTTCGTGCAAAATTCTACTTCACAGAGCGGAGAGAAAGGGCTGCAAAGTTCAAAAAGAGAACTCCCAGAACGACCACCAACTGGGAACTCTTTGGCACTATTGCGGCAACATGGGAAGATGCCATTGTTGACAACATTGACGAGGAATACGATCGACTGGGTCAGCACCTCCATGAATGTGTGAGGAACGCCAAGAGAGAGATAGCCACAAAAAAACACCTGTTTTTGAAAACTCTTGAGCTAATTCGCCAGTGTGGTTTGGCGCATGCCTCAGGCAACCACAAGCTAACATCTGAGCTCGCAAAGCAGTGCAGAGATGCGATCAAGGAAGACCTCAAAGAGAGAAGAGCAGAAGTACTGGTAGATGCGGCAGAAGCTGGGAAAAGTATTCGTAACGCCCACCTGTCCTTTGCCAACTACAAGACTAAGATGACTGCCCTCCGACGTCCTGATGGATCTATCACATCCTCCAGAACGGCAATGGAGAAGATTATCCATGACTTCTACTCAAATCTCTTCGATAGCCATGTCCACTTGCCGACATACCAAATTCCACAGGATGGATATGTCGTTCCCAACGTTCTCCCTTCCGAAATCCGACACGCCATTTCGTCGGTAAAGAAACAAACAGCATCCGGCCCAGACAAGGTCAGACCTGAACACCTGAAGAACCTGCCGTCAGTACTCATCAATACACTGGCTCGGCTCTTCACTCGCTACCTGTCTGAATGCAAGGTTCCGTCCCAATGGAAAACCAGCAGGACCGTACTACTGTTCAAGAAGGGAGACATCCAGGACATTGGCAACTATCGCCCGATCTGCCTATTGTCTGTCATCTACAAGTTGTTCACTCGAGTCATCCTAAATAGGATTGGCAGAACACTAGATGAAGGACAACCATGCGAGCAAGCCGGGTTCCACAAAGCATTCAGCACCATTGACCATATCCACACAATAACCAAGCTCATTGAGTTCAAGATGCCGCTCTGTCTAACATTCATTGATTTAAAGAAGGCCTTTGATTCTGTTCAGACGGAAGCGGTCATTGAAGCCCTAGCCAGTCAGGGCATTCAAGCCCAATACATCAAGATCCTCCGTGAGCTGTATTGCGGATTCACTACCAGGATCTCACCATTCTACAAAGAAGTGATCGTTGATGTCAAGAGAGGGGTGCGGCAGGGTGATACCATTTCACCGAAACTCTTCAGTGCCACCCTCGAGAACATCATGCGATGACTGGAATGGGAAAGAATGGGAGTGAAGATAGATGGTCGGCAACTACACCACCTCCGCTTTGCTGATGACATTGTTTTAGTAACACCAAACATCAGCCAAGCGGCACAAATGCTGTCCGACTTCGGCCGTGAGTGTGGAAAGGTAGGACTACAGCTGAATCTTACGAAGACAATGTTTATGAGAAACAGCCTCGTTTCTGATGCCCCATTCATTCTCAACGAAACGACCATCTCCGAATGAAACAGCTATGAGTACCTAGGTCGAGAAGTCAACATGACAAATGACCTGGCACCCGAGCTGCGCTGGAGGAAGAGAGCGGCTTGGAACGCCTTCAAGAACGTCGAAGAAATAGCTAAGAGGACGAAGAACCTCCAGCTCCGGGCACATCTCTTTGATTCCACTGTTCTTCCTGCATTAACATATGCCTCAGAGACCTGGGCCCTACGCAAACAGGAGGAGAACGCTACTCAGGTCTCCCAAAGAAGAATAGAAAGAGCTTTGCTTGGAATATCACGTTTCACTCAAATGAGAGAAAGAATCCGGAGTTCCGACATCCTTCGACGATCAAGAATCAGGGACGCTGTCTCATTTGCCAAGGTGTCAAAAATCAGATGGGCTGGTCACCTAATGAGATTTAAAGACGACCGCTGGACTAGAGCTGTTACTGACTGGATTCCACGGGATGTCAAAAGACCGCGTGGCCACCCACCTACCAGATGGTCAGACTTCTTCGTCAAGATCATGAACGATCGGTTTGAGGCTCTTCATGTTCCCAGAGCGAACAGATGCCATTGGGCTACACTAGCACGCGACAGGGACAAATGGAGACGTTACTGGCGCCCGCTCGAGCAAATCGACGACTAACGGGAAGTTAAGTGATTAAGTGATTAAGTGGAAAATTAAGAAAGTTTGCTTTTTAAGATATTCAGAAATCTTGATTTTAATGGCTCATATGGCAGTTTAATAATAGTAATTATTAAAAATAGTAATTATTAAAATCTCAATTTTCCACTAATGTGTCAAATTCAATGTTATTTCCTAAAAACCTTAAAGACAACATAAAAATATAATACATGAGCTTATATAATTTTTAAAGTAAAAAATTGCCAGAATACAAAAATACTGAAAATTACTAGAAATAATACAGTGGAATAGGGTGCTTGCCTTGTATGCAGCTATCCTGGGTTCAATCTCCAACACTGTTTATGGTCCCATGAGTCCACCAGGTGTGCTCCCTGAGCACAGAGTCAGGAGTAAGTCCTGAGCACCACCAGGCCTTGTATGATGTACGCATTCATAAAACAGCTGAAGGACCCATTTCACAGAACACATACCCATTTTTAAGGGACATGTGACTATGTATATTGATGAACTTTCATATAAATGTTTGACTATGTTGACATTTTATGTATTTTTAAAATTTATTTATTTAGGTTTGGTGGTCATACCTGGAGATGCTCAGGGGACTATATGGGATGCCAGGGATTGAATCCAGGTCAGCCACATGCAAGACCTTATCCACTGTACTATCACTCTGGCCCCTATAACATTTTAGAATTGGTTTCTTGAAGTGAAATTGCTGTTCAAAGAGGTATAAGTCTTGAAAAAGAACCACCAGCTACTGTAACATTGAAAAGCAGTCATAAATAATTATTTTCTAACAGTCCCCTCTTATTACAGTGTTTGTACAAAAAGTAACAGCATAAGTAATTTGCTTTATTAGCTCATTTCTCTTAGAAATACTGATAGATGCTATTATTATCTTAAAATGAGAAAGATTTTAAAACTTGCCCAGTGTCAAATTGGGTATGAAAATGAGCAGACCTTCTCCAGAATCAATGCCCTTAACTTCACTGCCACAAAGTTTTTCACATATAAAACTAGTGTCACATGGCTGCTGTGGGAAAAAATTAGTTCACTTGGTTTGAGATGTCTAATATTTGCTCACTCATGGACAGAAAAAATACCAGAAAATGAGAAGGCAGTCCTTTGTTTTTTCAGAGCCTTTTATGTAGTATTTATATATAAAAACAAAATCTGTATGTGCTAGAATCTGGTGATTTTTTTTCTGACAGTAAACATAATATACTCATTGTAGAAATCTTTGAAAAATAAAATACTTAAAATAAAAACTCCAAATGCTGCTAGCGATAACCAAAACAAACATGTTCATGTTACCTTTACATCATCTTTTTCTTACATATCTATAAAAATATGTCACGGTCACGGTCCTCCTGTTATTCATCGATTTGCTAGAGCGGGCCCAGTAACGTCTCCATTTTTTTGAGACTTGTTGTTACTGTGTTTGGCATATTGAATATGTCACGGGTAGCTTGCCAGGCTTTGCCGTGCGGGTGAGATATGAAAAGAAAAAAATCAAATGTTTATGCTATAAGCATTACACACACACACACACACACACACACACACGTATGTATGTTTGTTTTGGGGCCATACCCAGCATTACTAAGGGTTTGCTCCTGGCTCTTCACTCAGGGATCACTCGAGGCAGGGGTCAAGAGACCATCTGGGTGCCAAGGAATCCAACTTGAGCCAGCTGTGTGCAAAGCAAGTGCCCTATCCACTGTACTATCTCTCTGGCCCTGTATAATTATATTTGAAATTTTTATTATACTGCACGCACTTTACCAAGGCTTATTTTATGAGTAGCATAATATTTGCATGATAATAAGGATATGCCCTTGTTCAGTCAGCCCCATACTGTTGGACAATTAGTTAACATTTAGCGATATCCATAACCTTTTGCTGTCACACAGGCTTTGATGGATGCGCTAATTAAATATGCAGTTGATTATTTTTGTGGTGGTTGCTTGTTCTCACACCTGGCAGAGCTCAGAGTACATGTGGTGCCTGGGATTGACTGGTGATTTCATTAGTATGATTAGAAACTGGGAGACCTGAACCAAAAAGAAATTTTATGTTTCCTGACATGAGCTGCCACCATCATGGATGCTGTTAACTAACTCTTGATAACATTTTCTTGAATTAGACCTTCCTAGTAAGTGATATTGTCATTAAAATCCGCGTTCCTGTTACTTTACTGGCTTGCGTTTCTATTGTGATTCAACAAATATTTCCTGAGTATTGACTTAATGCCAGGTACTCTGCTAGGGGGAAAGAAAGTTGGGGGAAAGAAGAGAAACATATGCCCACTGCAAGGCAAAACACTTATAAAGGCATTCGTGGTGCACTGCCCAACCTCCTTTCCTCTGCCATACCTCTCTTCCCATCATTTTTTTAAACTAAAAATTTTAATTTAGTTCAATGCTATGAATTAAACTGAGCTTCAAAGTCTAGAAAATGTACTGAAAATTTAAACGGTCTTTGAAGAAAAAGTTGCAACCATGCTTACTTACCAGAAAGGCATTGGATAGGCAAAACGTTCCCTCAAATCAATATTCATGAAGGGAACATATTCTATACCATTTATTTTCGAGGTTGTCCTATAAAACACAAGAAAACATTATGAAGGAAAGATTCAAGTCTACTTGATTCAACAATCTTAAACTCCTTGAAATATAAATGGCAAGGTAAAAAAAATTAAATAAATAAATAAATAAAAATGTAAATGGCAAGAAAAACTGCTTTTGTTTGTTTTGTCTTTGGGGGCCACACCTGGTGGTGCTCAGGGCTTATTCCTGGTTCTCTGCTCAGGGATCACTCCCAGCTGGGCTCAGAGTTCTGCATGCCGTGTCAGGGATCAAAGCCTGACAGGTTGTGTGCAAGGCAAATGTTCATCTGGGGCACTATGCTCTGACCCCACGGTATACCACTTTTATAAAATTAAACTGGAGGGCTGCAGTGATAGCACAGTGGGTAGGGCATTTGCCTTACACGCAGCCAACCTGGGTTTGATTCCCAGCATCCCATATGGTCCCCTGAGCACCGCCAGGAGTAATTCCTGAGTGCAGAACCAGGAGTAACCCCTGTGCATTGCCGGGTGTGACCCAAAAAGCAAAAAAAAAAAAAAAAAAAAAAAAAAAAAGATTAAACTGACAATCACGTGGACAATATCTTGTACAACAGTTTCACAAGATGGCTGACTACTAGAAAAATAAATTATTCAATTCGATTCCCTAAGTGTGACTCTTTTTTAGGACGAACATCTGATCACATCAAAGCAACTGTCCCAAGACAGGCTTACAATAGACAGACTGTGCTGCAGAGTGGCTTCACAATTCGCCGCTTAATAACAATACTCAGTGAGATGGACACAATCTGAGGGCTCATTAATAGAGCCAGGGAGGAAGTCAACTGAGTACACTTATCTGCATCCTGAAAGGATGAGAACTCGTCATTTATTTTCACAAGCTCTGAGGGAGCTGCAGGTCTGTAATTGAGAAAAGTAACATTGCTTGGTTGTATTACAAATTTCAAATGTGAGTAAAGGAAGAATATGGGTCTGAGTGACAAAGGAGCTGGAAAGTTACTATTTCTCAGTCCTAAACACAGTTGTTATTTTGCAATGGATAGGCTTACAAGTAACTTTCCTAGGCAAAGAGAGCCAGTTCGACAATTAAAAATGGTCAGCAGGAAAAGAGAAATGCTCTTAGGTAGCTGCTATATAGAAAAACAAGAAAAGTCATTTCAGCTCAAGTTTAGCAAATTAAAAATGAGCAACTAGAGCCAGAGCTATAGTACAGTGGGTAAGGCACTTGCCTTGCACGCCGTCGACCTGGGTTTGATCCCCAAGTCTGCCAAAGTGATCAGGAGGAAGTGCAGCTGCAGGGCAGGAGGAAACCCTAAACACCACTGGGTGTGGCCCGAAAACAAACCAAAAAAATGAGTAATACATATTGTACATACCTTGCACAGCTCTAAGCAGGCTGGATCGCCTCTGAGCCCAACTGAAAAGCAGCTACACTGGCTCCAAGTGCAATCAGGGATTTCCCTATCACTTCTGTTCTGCATCTTTAATAGCCTGCAGTTCCTTCCACACACTGAGCTGCCTTCCCAGCTTCCCAGGGCAGTGGTTGTTAAGGGTCAGAAAACGAAGCCTTAAGGTTTTGCAAGGAGGTCTTGGTCACATATTCTGTTTCGCTTTTTTCTTTTTTCTATCTCTTTAAAATGTGAAAACCAAACCAAACCAAACCAAAAGGCTTCTTTTTGCTGGCCCCCTAGTCTAGACTATGGAAATAGTCTTCAAAGATTATATTTTTTTCCCCCTTTAGGGCTCTGGTTACAAAAGCTTCATTGATTATGAATGGCATATTACCTTAGCAACCAATTTTGAAGGTTAGAATTTTCAGTAAAATAATTACCTAGGAAAAATGCTCATAGTAGGGTCAAAGAGATAGTACAGGGCTTCAGGTGCTTGCCTAGAAACACCCTAGTCTGCCCCCTGCTACCACAGAGTCCCCTGAACAACCCTGACCACAGAATTCAAACAGCCCCGCAGCACTGCTGGGTGTGAAGCCCCATCACTCCCCAAAAGAAATGCTCATAATAAAATATATTAGAACCAACTTCAATTATTTCAAGTTGTGAGTACATGCCGATAAATTATTATAGCATAATGACAGCACAAAACACAATAACAAAAATCTGAATGTAACTCAGTAAACCTAACGCAAATACAACAACTTGTGTTACTAGAAGCGTTCCTTACACTGAATCATAAACTGACTCACCTGAGAACTTCTATTTCTTCTGCTGTGTATCTCTGTCCTTGTGAATCACATGACTGTGGACTGATAAATGGCTGGGGTTTTTCAAGGAAGGGATTAGCTCCCAGTGGAAAATGTGTTCTTGTTGGAGGTGGCTTTGGCTTAATATTTGTTGACTTGATTTTGCATACTGGCTTTGTTAAAGGCTCACTCAACGCTTCTGCTCTGAAATACAGAGGTTCAGAAAATTTCTTTCATATTTAAACTTTCCAGAAAAAAAAAAAACTTACTTCAAGAACCAGTGAAGCAATCCTAACATAAAACATGGGACAGAACATTCTTTAATACCAGGAAACATTTCACGAATTAATCTACTTCTATGGGTAAGTATTTTTTGCAAATGATGCTCTATTGGCAACATTAACTGAGCATGTCAGAGTACACAGGGTGGAGGGTGGGGGACACAGAGAAGTATAAAACACAGTCTCTACCCTTAAGGTGCTCATAGTTCCATAGGGAAAGACAACTGTATCCAAAGCGACAGATGCTAGAAGAATGACATGCAGAAGAATGCAACGTAGGACCCATTAACAGAATGACTGGCAGAGAGAGGGCTAGGGAGGGGGGGTTTAAACTGATCTTAGAGCTGCAGAGGTTCACCTGGGGAGAGAGCAAGCACTCCATGTTAAGTGCAGCACGTGCAAATGTGTGGCATTATGAGCAGCAAAGTGAGGGAAGGTGATTTCACAAGGAAGGATGGAGCCCCTGTGAAAAGCACACAGGACAGGGGACAGGGAGCGGGAGATGGGACCAGAGGCAGGGGAAGGAGCACGGAAGGCTTCTCATAATACACAATGGAATTGGGACTCAGTTTCGTCAAAGAACAAGCTAAAACATAGAAATTCTTAACCTCGGTCCATAATTGAGTTTGAAGAGTTCAGTGTGCTTGTAAAGGTAAAAGGTAAAGGCCCTCCTGTTGTTCATCGATTTGCTCGAGCGGGCCCAGTAACGTCTCCATTGGAGACTTTGTTGTTACTGTGTTTGGCATATCGAATACGTCATGAGGAGCTTGCCAGGCTCTGCCGTGCGGGCGAGGTCCTCTCGGTAGCTTGCCAGGCTCTCCGAGAGGGGCGGAGGAATCGAACTCGGGTCGGCCATGTTGGCTGCGTGCAAGGCAAACGCCCTACCACTGTGCTATCGCTCCAGCCCAGTGTGCTTGTAAACACTGAAATTATATACAAAAAAGTTTTATGTACATTTTTCTAGAGAGTAGATCCATATAATTTTGAGCAGACCCTCATAAGAAACCAGTCTGACCCACCCCTATGTTCAGGATAAATTCAGAAAATAGTTGAATGAATTTTTGATTTAAGTATAAATCCATTCTTTTTTTTTTTTTTTTTTTTTTTTTTTGCTTTTTGGGTCACACCTGGCGATGCACAGGGGTTACTCCTGGCTCTGCACTCAGGAGTTACTCCTGGCAGTGCTCAGGGGACCATATGGGATGCTGGGAATCGAATCCAGGTCGACCACATGCAAGGCAAACGCCCTATCCGCTGTGCTATCTCTCCAGTCCAAAATCCATTCATTCTTCCACTTTAGTAATCAAACCATTATGCCCTGACTTGTAAGTGAGTGAAGTCAAAATGGAGAAGATGAATATGCACCAAGTCCCCACTCTCCACGCATTTGGAGAAACAAGCTAAAGCTTAGATGAGAGTAATGAAAAGGAGAGATAATGGTTTGCCACAATAAAAATAGGCTAAGGCCAGTAACGCTACCCAGTTGGAGACTCAAAAGTGAATAGTTAATTCATGCTATAACAATAAATGTAATTCCAATCCCTTTCTGATGTCTAATATTCTTCATGTGGTGCATCTCTCTAAGGAGGTATAAATCCATTCATTCTTCAAAGAAACACCAACTGAAGACACATACTATGCTAGATGTGTGGCTGTAATATTGAATAAAACAGTCAATACTTTTGCCCTCAGAGCTTACATTCAGAGGATGGGGGTGACAGTGACATAAACATTAATAATAAACATGAACAATCGAAGTTACATATACCTTTAAAAGTGCTAAGAGTTACAGGAAAGCATACCTCAATAGTAATAAGAAGAAAATAAGAAAGATTTGGGTTGGAGCGATAGCACAGCGGGTAGGGCATTTGCCTTGCACTCGGCTGATCCAGCTGACCCAGGTTCGATTCCTCCGCCCCTCTTGAAGAACCCATTAAGCCACTGAGAGTGTCTTGCCTACACGGCAAAGCCTGGCATGCTAACCCAAGACATACTTGATATGCCAAACACAGTAACAACAAGTCTCACAATGGAGACGTTACTGGGCCCGCTTGAGCAAATTGATGAACAAAGGGAGAACAGTGCTATGATATATGAAAAATTAAATTTTAAGCAGGGTAGGCCTTATTGAAAGGTTCAATACTGAGCAGAACTGAAGGAGCTACACAGTATAATTGGGTTACACATATCGCTGTCAGAAAGCTCATACTTCATTTCTCTATTTTTTCATAGTAACTGAAAGTTTCCTTGGAAATTTTCTTTGGAAGACTAACCCCATACCCAGAAGGGAAGTCTATTTGAAACAATCATTTAGGGCATTTACCTTGCATGCAGCTGACCCAGGTTTGACTCCTCCACCCCTCTCAAAGAGCCCAGCAAGCTACCGAGAGTATCTCGCCCTCACAGCAAAGCCTGGCAAGCTACTTGATACATGAGAGAATAAAGAAGACAATTTATTTTCATCTTTAAAGGTACCACTTACAATGACATATCCAATATGCCAAAAACAGTAACAACAAGTCTCACAATGGAGATGTTACTGGGCCTGCTCGAGCAAATCAATGAACAACGGGAGGACAGTGACAGGACAGTGACAGTGATGAAGCAAAAACTAAAGTATGATTTGAACAGTTATTTCTTGTAGTTAAAACAGCAAAGTTGTATAAGTGCAATTGGAAAAAACTAGATTTGTTTGACATGATAGACCTAATACAAGCTCTGACACATATTCAGATAAATCTGTTCAGTGAAGTAATGCAGTAAGGACACAGTGACCCACGGAGAAGAATCTGAATAAGCCACACTTACCTATCTAGTGCCTGTCGAGCCAACTGTTTCAGTTTGTTCTGCAGGGTTTTATCAGCAGTTTCAGCAGACTTAAGAGAAAGAGAGACAGACATTCTGAAGCATAATTATTTTTTTAATTTGCTTGATCCATGACATTTCTAAGCAAAAAAAATTTTACAATGCATATTACACAGCTTGGTAATATGAGAGAATAAAGAAGACGTTTTATTTTCATCCTTAAAGGTACCATTTACAATACTGTTAAAAACTTTGTAAGTGAGGTAAAATTTAAGGTCATTTAATGAGGACAAGTGGCAACTGGACCCAAACCAACCTGAAACTCACCAGCCCATCCACACAGGGTCCTGCAGGAAGCAGCAAAAGTTATTCATCAGAAACATTTCATTTTACAAAATAATATGAATTCTCCCAAACCATCATCTTACTTTCCATTCTGTGGAGATGTTTTTATTAAAGTGGAAGTTTATTCTAAATTAATGGATTTGGGATGAATTCATAAATATGGCAGAAACAGAATTCTTCCTATACTTTAATTTTAGTTACGAATATAAAAAGGAATATTTTTTAAAAAAGAGTACCTGTCATTTAAAAAATAATTGCCTAATAACTCAATATTGTCAAACTTTTAATAAGTTTGACAATTAATTTTTATTAATTTTCGACTCTTATCTTTTAACAAAGAGGAACTAAGTTACATTTATGACAATATTTTTTATCCTTAAAAGATGAAGATAAAAATTATCCTCAGGGGTAGGGAGACAGTTCAGTGGCCAGTGAAGCACACAGAGAACCCTGAGTGTCACTGGGGTGGCCCTGGCAGTTGACTGTGCCCCTAGGCCTGGCCCGCTCTCTGCCCTCAGGTTGAGCACTGAACTCTCAGGCCTGACTGGCTCAATATCCAGGGCAGAGGCCCCAGGACCCCTGAGTACTTGCTGTGTGAAAATCACTTAATAAGGGAAAATATAAACAGTAAATTTGTTGAATATCATTGCAATAACATTCTAAACATTGCTAGTACTTATAAATTTACAAATAACAGACATAACATTAAATTACTTAGCTACCAGTTTCACTTGCTGCTATAAACATACAGTTTTCAGGCAGAGATCTACAGCTTCTGTATATAATTCTATTGCATCTTCCACATTCCCTTTCTCATCTTCATCAAATGCTTGTGTAACAAGAAAATGGGCACGTTCTAAATCCAACTGTTGTTTAGATTTCAAAGGATCAGTACTTTTTGGCTGAACTAAAGACAGGGAAAAAAAATCAAGATTATTGTGTATATATATATCCATTTTGACACATTTACAACATTTTAAAATGAAATTCCATAATTCTTCATTTTAAAAGCTTAGCAATGTAAAAGAAAACAACCCGTTCCCTGCCTTTAATTTTAAGACTTAAAAAACTTTATGAACTGGATTTTTATCAACAGGACTCTTATGCTTAAAATAATAACTAAGGATACCTCAATTGTCTGGGCTGGAGTGATAGCACAGCAGGTAGGGCGTTTGCCTTGCACGCGGCCAACCTGGCCGACCCAGGTTCGATTCCTCCACCCCTCTTGGAGAGCCCGGCAAGCTACCGAGAGTATCTCACCCGCACAGCAAAGCCTGGCAAGCTATCCGTGATGTATTAGATATGCTAAACACCGTAACAAGAAGTCTCACAATGGAGATGTTACAGGGCCTGCTCGAGCAAATTGATGAACAACGGGAGGAGAGTGCTACAGTGCTACCTTAATTGTCTACAGAGTTGACTCTCCATTGAACCAAAAAGCCCAAAAGCGTGCAAAACGATTAAGGCATATTACATTTTAAAAGTCCTTTTTGAACTTCACTCCTTTTTTCACTGACAAATTCTTTATTCTTCGAGAAATCAGGGCCATGCAACACAAAAGTAGTAGGAGATTTACATGCTACTCTCACTGCTAGACAGGTCAACTAGGCAAAACCTCAACAAGGAAACACCTGAAAGAAGAAATGGAAGAGACAGGCCGAGCAGACATATACAGGTCCTTCATCCCAAAAAATGAGTACGTATTTTTCGCCAGTGCACACAAGAAATCCTCCCACTCTGACCGCATGCTGGGTCACAGAACATATCTCCATAAAATTAAGAAGACAGAAGTTGTGTTAACTATCTCTCACAACATGAAACTTCACAATTGGAAATTAATCACAAAAAGAAATGGGTGTGGGGAAAGAAACTCAAACACTAGGAAATTAAACAAAATAAAGAATTTTTGAGTCAAACAAAATAAAAAAATAAGCCAAAACAAACAAAAAAAGAAATCAGGGCTGTTTTATTCTGTGCTTGACTATCACATTCATGAATTTCATATTTACAAATTTAAGAACTTCATTTACTTAGCTGGGAAAATGAAGTTTCTTTGAATTATATGGTATTCTGAATATATACAATGTTTTTCAGTCTTCAAAGATAATTTTATTTTAGAACACAGTTTCTGCAATAAGGTTCCTGATTACTAGGAAATTAAATTCAAGAACTTTGCTTATTTAGCAGGGAAAATTAACTTCCTTTGAATTACATGGTACTTTGAATACATGAATTACTAAAACTTTCTATTGAGTGAGGCTCTTAGTTCACTTCTAATACATGCAATTTCTGGGCACTACATTTAAGAGGATTTGTTAATAGTAAGAAATTCAATGTTCCAATCAACTTTAGCCTATGTTTTAACTTTTAAGTATCTACTCTGACTAAGCAGAGAACACTACAATAAGTAAAAATTCTTTTAAGTTGTTTGTGACTATATTCTACTAGCCATAGAAAAAAAAGGTTAAAAGTGTCCTTCTGGGCAAGGGCTGTTGCCACTGCTGGTGAGTGAGGAGTCATCACACTAGCCTGAAGCTCTGTCATTAGCAGTATAAATCATGGTGTCTCTGCAAAAACTTGGAGGGGGGGGGGAGTCCTCAGTGAGAGAGATTCATTTCTGAAACAAAATATCAGCAAGCAATGATTTTGTTTTCCACCCATGCACACTGGAGACTTGGGCTGGACCTATTTACCTTTCACTAACAGAACTGTGACCATCGAACCTCCATGTACTTGTATTATAGCATCTGTCACGTTGTTTACAAAAATAAATTCAAGCTGTTCCAGCTCACTGCTTCCTTGTCAGCTTTCCAGTTCAGATATGGTTTTACAAAAGAGCTCAGCCAAGGTTTTACGAAGGGGAAGACACTTACATTCAAGACCATGAAGCTGCAGCTAAAGTCTTTGTCTTTCTGTTTTTTTTTTTTGGGGGGGGGGTGCTCACCCAGGTGTTTGGGTCTTCTGGTTTTGGGGCTCAGGGATCACACACTGGTGGGGCTCCAGGGACCGTAAGGGGATGCTGAGGATATGGCACCTGATTCTGCATGTGTAAGGCAAGCACCTCAAGCTGTCAACGTCTTAAACTCTGGAAATGTAGTTATTTAATTCCAGTGTCTGGTGGAACACATGAGAGAGATGGCAGAGACTTTATAACTGGTCCAACTCTCAGCCAAACAAATGACATGCTCTCAATATGGCTTTAGCTAATGTACCATATCTGTGCCTCCCAGAAATAAGGAGCTGAACTCTATTACTAGGGTTCCTTTGCAAAGGTCTATCACTTCCACTTTTATTTAGGGATAAGAAGATACAATGTTGTTAATATGGATGTTTTAAGATACAATGATGCCAAACCACACCCACCTTCAGACTATGAGCCTCTCTCCAACCATCCACCACTCTCTTCGTTCCCCTCCCTTTAGTGGACTTTTCAAGAAAGTGCTTCCCAAAAGAGGAATGGACTCTCCGTCACAAGAGAGAAAGTGAGGGATCAATATCCAAAAGTTTAAAAAGGAAACACAAGGGGGTAGATGATGGAAGAGGAAACAAAAGAATACAAGCTTAGTAGTTCTCTACTAACCTGCAGAATGTAAAGCTTGAACTCGTTCCAGATACTCATTTATCTTTTCTTGAATATGTTCTAGGCCTGATCCTGCCATTTCAGCATAAATTAAAGCTTGTGCAGCTTCCTAAAACAAACAAAAAACAAATTGAAAGGAATCTAAAAGATGAGTTACAATCTGATTTTTCTTTGCCACTTCTAAACTAGTACTTTGTGAGTGACCAAAGTCCTTATGATATTAGTTTTTTCTCTTATGCTGAAAACTTAGAAATTTAAACAGTAAAAATTGATTATAAATATTTTTTATTAGAACAGTTGTGCTTCATGTTTTGTTTCTTTTTTTCTGTGTGCAATGGTTCAGATTTAAAAATTACTCAGCTTGTAAGGGTGAACCGAAATCCGAAAACATAAGTACAGAGAACAACCAATGCAGAATCCAAAAAAAAAAAGGCAAGAAATTATAAAGATAAAGATTAAATATCACATGGCAGGGGCCAGAGTGATAGTACAACGGGTAGGGCATTTGCCTTGCACACAGCTGACCTGGGTTCAATCCCTAGCATCCCATATGGTTCCCCAAGCACCCCCAGGAGTAATTCCTGAGCACAGAGCCAGGAGTAACCCCTGAGCATTGGGTGTGACCGACCCAAAAAGAAAAAAAAGTCATATGGCAGAAAGGAAATATTTTTCCCCACAGAATATACTGTCCAAAAGTATATCAAAAGCAGAATTTCAGTTGTATAAAATAAGCTTATCTGAATTAAGAGAACCTGACTTTGTCGTCCCACTCCTGGCTCTGGAAACAACTAAGCTGTTACCTTGTGGCTTGGATGAAAAGACTGCATTCTCCCCCTCACCGTTATGGGAAGGGCCAGAGATTTCTCTGAAGCAGTAGCAATACCTTCTCTACAGTAATGAATCACGCACTTTTTGGAATGCCATGGTTAACCCATGTCTGGATGTACAGAAGTCATCTATGGAACATCGCTTTCTGATTGCTTTGGGTCCCTACTTGACCTGGCAATACCCAGCTCTTACTCCCGGCTCTGGGCCGAGGGATCACTCGTGGTGGGCATGGGGGACCACATGGGGTACCAGGATTGAAGCTGGGTCTGCTGCATGCAAGGCAAGGGCATTACATACTGTACTCTCTCTCTCTCTCTCTCTCTCTCTCTCTCTCTCTCTCTCTCTCTCTCTCTCTTTCTCTCCTTTGAAGCTTCACTTTTTGAATACAGTTACTGAACCCAGCATTTTTCCACAGAATGTAACAAACTCAGTAAGAGTATAGTTTTTATCCAAATGGAAATTCTAAGGCTATGGGGGTGGAGAGATAATTTCTTCCGAATCTGTCAGTTGTCTTGGCAGAAGCAAACAAAATTTTACATGTAAACATAAATACTGTATTTTAGGGGCCAGAGAGTACAGTCAGGGTAAGGCACTTGTCTTGAATGAAGTTGATCTGGATTCTATCCCTGGCACTGCATGCAGGTGGTTCCCTGAGCACTGCTGGCTGTGGCTAAATCCAAATACACACACAGAGTATCTAATGTACCACCATACTATCTAAATACTCTGGCTAAATCCAAATACACACACACACACACACACACACACACAGAGTATCTAACGTACCAACAATACTATCTAAATACATGACAGCTACACTAACTTGAATGAACTGATATGGGTATATATATTTCACCCCTTCAATTACCTTGCATGTAAATATCAATCTTTAAATGACCTTGCTCAAATTAAATATAGCCAAGCTTTAAAATGTTGACATCAATTTTACTTATTTTTCATATTTGAGTGTGAATGAAAGGAATCTCTCTTGGAAAATGGCAGATGACACTAAATATGTTAAAAGTTTATATGTAAATAGTTCCTAAAAGCACACACACTGAGATTCTCAAGGATTAAAAATTCTTTATAATGAAACGTTTGTAACCCTCTGTCTGTGTATTAATATTACTATATTACCCTATTATAGCTGTAGAGCAAGTTCTATAGCAAAACAATATTACAACAGGATAGTAATTATTTTGTAGTTATTTCTTTTGCTTCAGATATTTCCTTATTTTATGTGATACCACTTTACCATGCAAACAGCTGTCAGTTACTTCATTAAACTATACACCTACAGAACTTCAGAGAAATATCAACCATGACATTTCCCCCCCATGAAATCACAAGGAATGATTCTGAAATACCCCAAATTTCTAAGTATAAGTTTATAAAATTAGGGCAGTATTGGCCCGAGAAAAACAAACCACACTGCTGACAGCATATGTGTTTTCTGAACAGAAATGATTGCCACTGTATGCATTATGGACGTCTCACATTCTATCTGCAAAGAGAAATCGACAATATCATAGAGACAGAGCTACCTCCACAAGAATGCAGTGGGACGGGGTAAGCTGAACAAGTATGTCTGAAAATCCTAGGGACGGATGAGGAGACACACATTCTGGGATTTAATACTTGTACTCCCAGTGAGTTAAGAGAGGACCATGTAAAATATCAGCTATTAGAACACTCATCACACAGTTAGCTTATATCAAAAACCCAGAACAGACCAAAAAGTCCAACAGCATTTGTGAATCAATTACGGTACAGCCACATAATGGAATACTAACTATCTATCATTCAGATGACAATACAAAGCATCGGTTTAATGATTTTTTTATAAGTACAAGTAATTTTTTTGGCAAGTACAAATTTAAGGCAGATTTTAAAAACTGCACAAAGAATACCATCTTTAAAAGAGTTTTTAAAGAGTTTTTTTTTTTTTTAAGAATTTATCTTTATTTTAAAGAGTCTTTTTAAAGAGTCCTCCCCCCTTGGATAAACAAGGGCTAAGATAAACGTTGAGACGTTTCAACCTTTTCCAATTTACTTTTTAACATTTCCTTGATTGGAAATTCCTTTGGGAGGGGGGCATAGGACCCTCAAGTTATTCCTGGAGGGAAGGGAAGGTGTAAATTGCAAAAAGGTGATGTGTATGTGTGGGTGGGCAGGAGCGTTATGGCAGGGTAGGGTAGGACAGGGGTCTCTCGGAGCACGGGAACCCGGTGGGAAAGGGGGCCGCGGTGGGGAAAAACGTGGAGAAACTTTGTTTTGTGGCAGAATAACCGGGGACCACTGAAATCATCGAGCGTCAAGTGACGGCAACGGCTGGGTGCGACCACTCCAGCCACGGTCATCAGCAATCCCCAGGGAGCAGGTGCCAGGCTGGGCCGTGGGCGCCGCGAGGCCGCCACTGTCCAGCCGAGGCCAGAGCGCGCTGGGGGCGGGAGGGCGCGACCTCGGGCCCCGACAGCGGGCGGGATGGGGCGACCCCGGGACCCGGGGGCAGCGGGCCGGCTGGGGCGACCCGGGGACCCCGGACGGTTGGCGGTATGGGGCGGCCCCAGGCCCCGACAGCGGGCGGGATGGGGCGACCCCGGGACAGCAGGCGGGATGGGGCGACCCTGGACCCCGACAGCGGGCGGGATGGGGCGACCCCGGGACAGCAGGCGGGATGGGGCGACCCTGGACCCCGACAGCGGGCGGGATGGGGCGACCCCGGGACAGCGGGCGGGATGCGGCGGCCCCGGGCACGGAGGCTCCCGGCGGTGGGCCTCGCCTCGCCGCCACGGGCCCGCCCCCTGGGCCCCCTCCTACGGCGGCCGCGGCGCCGGGCCCCACCTTGTAGTAGAACACGGCCTCGGAGTAGCGCCCTGCGTGGTCGCGTTGCACCGCCAGCCGCGCGAACTGCACCGCGTCCCGCTCCAGCGCCGACGCGTCCATGGCGCCCGCTGCGCGCAGCCGGCAGCCGGGCAGTGGGCTCGGAAGCGCCGCCCAGGGACCAGCCGAGACCCAGCTCGCGGACCGCAGCACCAGGAGGAGGCGGAGAGCGCGGCCTTCCGGGCTCCAGCCCGCCGCCTCGCCGCGCCCCCTCGGCGAGGCGCCCCCTCGCCGCAGCCCGGCCCGCACGGCGCGCTGTCAGCCCGGCCCCGCCCACCGGCCGCACTGCGCAGGCGCGGCCCGCCCCGGGGCGGTGCTCCGAGGGGGCGGGGGCACACTTGGGGGCGGGCCTGAAGGCCACGTGACCTAATCGGCTCTCGGGATTGGACGAGCGGAGGCCGCCGCCGGGGCCGAGCCCCACCCCGCTGCCTGCGTGGTGACACCGGGGCGAAGCAGCGCCTGCGCATTACGGAGTCTTTGCCTCCACTGCCCGTGCCGCTGAGAGTCTGCTCCAGCATCATGTAGCTTGATTTTTAGAACGTTAATGAAGAACATTAGGCCATAGGATCCCTTTTGAGATACTTTTTAATAGCCTTCATTTTCCAAAAGTCCGGCCGTGGTCCTGAATATATTATGTCCCCTAAGGATGGTGTGTTGATTATCAGCTATCAGCGAGCAGGGGCGTATGTTTTCACGCGCTCTTTAGGTTAATTTCTACTGTCGTAATTACTTGATGCGGTGATTATTGATCTGTTTTGTAGGTGATTAATGTCTTTTTCTCTTCCTTCCAAAGTCTAAATGCAACAATCATAAAAATACGCCGGAGAGTGAGAGGGGCTGTCCGGTGGACGAGACTCGAAATCCGGAGCTGGATCAGAGAACAAGATCCAGAGATGAACCAACTACAAGGTTCTCTATCAGAAACCCCGGGAAGGCGCCGGGGAGATGGGGTAGCGTGAACAGAGAGCAAAGGGCGGCTACCAAGTGCGTGTGCACTACATTTGCAGCCTCAGCTTTTCTTTCTTTTTCTTTCTTTCTTTCTTTCTTTTTTTTTTTTTTGGAGGCCACACCTGCGATGTCCAGGGCTTACTCCCTGGCTCTGCACTTAGGAATCACACCTAGCGTGCTCAGGGATGACGGGGATCGAACTACGGTCCGTCGTGTGCAAGTCAAACGCCTTGACTATGGTACTATCGCCCCGCTCCCAGCCCTTTTTCTTTTTTTTTTTTTACAGTTGTAGATTTACAATTTTTTGTGCTTGGGTTTTGATTATACAATGATCAGGTACCCAGCCCTCCACCAGTGCCCATTTTCCACCACCATGGATAATATCCCCCCACCCCCATCTCCCCATCCCCCCCCTGCCTCTGTGGCAGGGCAATCCCCTGTGTTCTCTCTCTCCTTTTGGGTGTTGTGGTCTGCAAAAGAGGCATTGAGTGGCAAACATGTTCAGTCCATAGTCTACTTTCGACATGCATCTCCCCTCCTAGGAGGATCCTCCAAACACCCTTTATTTGGTGCTCCCTTCTCTATCTGAACTGCCCTTTCCTCTAGGATACCCGGCTGGCCTCTAAGTTATGGAGTAATCCTCCTGGTGCTGATCTCAGCTATTCTTGGGTATTAATCTCATACTTTGTTACTTTATATCCCCCAGATGAATGCAATCTTTCTATGTCTATCCCTCTCTTTCTGACTCATTTCACTTAGCATGATACTTTCCATATTGTACCACTTGTATGTAAATTTCATGACTTCATCTTTTCTAAGAGCTACATAGTACTCCATTGTGTAGATGTACCAAAGTTTCTTTAACCAGTCATCTGTTCTTGGGCATTCAGGTTTCTTGCAGTTTCTGGCTATTGTAAAGAGTGCTGCAATGAACAAACAAGTGCAGATGTCACTTCAACTATACATTTTTGCCACTCTGGGATATATTCCCAGGAGTGGTATTGCTGGGTCAAATGGGAGCTCAATTTCTAATTTTTTGAGAATCGTCCATACTGTTTTCCAGAAGGGCTGAACCAGTCGACATTCCCAACAGTGAAGGAGTGTCCCTTTCTCGCCACATCCACGCCAGCATCGGTTACTTTTGCTCTTTTGAATGTGGGCCAGTCTCTGAGGTGTGAGATGGTATCTCATTGTGGTTTTGATCTGCATCTCCCTGATGATTAATGATGTAGAGCATTTTCTCATGTGCTTTTTTGCCATTCGGATTTCTTCTTTGAGAAAGTTTCTGTTCATTTCATTGCCCCATTTTTGGATGGGGTTGGATGTTTTCTTCTTGTGGAGTTTAACCAGTATTTTGTATATCCTGGATATCAACCCCTTGTCAGATGTGTATTCGGTGAATATCCTTTCCCATTCTGTAGACTGTCTTTGTATTTTGGTCACTGTTTCTTTGGAGGTGCAGAAGCTTCTTAGTTTAAGATAGTCCCATTTATCTATCTCTGTTTTCACTTGCTCGGCCAGTGGCGTGGCATCTTTGAAGATACCATTAGCTTCAATGTCATGGAGGGTTTTGCCAACTTTTATGGTTTCTGGTCTGATGTTGAGGTCTTTAATCCATTTTGATCTTACTTTTGTACATGGTGTTAGGCAGAGTTCTGAGCCTATTTTTTTGCATGTAGCCGTCCAGTGATGCCAACACAATTTATTAAAGAGGCTTTCCTTACTCCACTTCACATTACTTGCACCTTTATCAAAGATTAGATGATCATATGATTGAGGGGAGATGTCAGTGTATTCAACCCTGTTCCATTGGTCTGCAGTTCTGCCTTTGTTCCAGTACCATGCTGTTTTAATTATTACTGCTTTGTAGTACAGTTTGAAGTTCGGGAGGTTGATTCCTCCCATTTTCTTTTTCCCAAGCATTGCTTTAGCTATTCGTGGGGGCTTATTGTTCCATATAAATTTCAGGAGTGTTTGCTCCATTTCTTTGAAGAATGTCATGGGTATCCTTATAGGGATTGCATTGAATTTATACAATGCTTTTGGTAGTATTGCCATTTTGACAATGTTAAGTCTCCCGACCCATGAGCAGGGGATATCTTTCCATTTCCTCATGTCCTCTTTTATTTCCTGAAGTAGCGTTTTGTAGTTTTCTTTGTACAGGTCCTTTACTTCCTTAGTTAAGCTGATTCCTAGGTACTTGATTTTCTGGGGCACAATTGTGAACGGGATTGATTTTTTCATGTAGCTTTCCTCTCTCTCACTGTTTGCGTATAGGAAAGCCATGGACTTTTGGGTATTGATTTTATAACCTGCAACTTTACTATACAAGTCTATTGTTTCTAGGAGTTTTTTGGTGGAGGTTATTGGGTTCTCTAAGTAGAGTATCATATCATCTGCGAATAGTGAGAGCTTGAGTTCTTCCTTTCCTACCTGAATGCCCTTTAATATTTTTTTCTTGCCTAATCGCTATTGCAAGTACTTCCAGTACTATATTGAACAGCAGTGGAGAGAGTGGGCATCCCTGTCTCGTCCCTGATCTTAGAGGGAAGGCTCTCAGTTTTTCCCCATTGAGGATGATGCTTGCTGTAGGCTTGTGGTAGATGGCTTTAATTATGTTGAGGAAGGTCCCCTCTATACCCATTTTGGCTAGGGTTTTCATCGTAAAGGGGTCCCAGCCCTTTTTCTTAATTGTACCTTTGGTAGATTATTTTGAAGGCAGAGTGGGGTCACACCCAGGGTGCACCGGGGCCCATTAAGTGGTGTTGGGGATCAATCTCGCCTGGGCCTTAACCCCTGCACAGTCTCTCTACGTCCTTTAATAGACTCTTTTTAATCAGTTGACCCGAGTTGAAATGGAACTGTCCTTTCTTTGTTTTTGAAAAACGCTGCCTATTTACCTGAAAGTTGCAAAGATAGTGCTTGTCCTTAGAGACTGTGTTCTTACACCCAAGCCTGGATGGTTTATCCTTTTACTGGTTTTATCCCAACACTGAGCGAAAGCTTCTACGGCAGGTGTCTCCAAAGAGCACTTTTGAATGTTGAATGAGCATACTCCGCTGTCAATGTACAATGTGTCCTCTCCCCCGCCCCCCAAATCCTGCAGAACATGAGCTCACCACTAAGCCCCACGGTGCTTGCTGTCGCACTTTTACACAAGGTAAATCCCAAACTACAAGGTGAACACCCTTCCACTTCTACCCAGCTATCTCTTATATGCGGCCCCTCCCTCCCCTTACAGTGAATAGAATTTATAGCTCACCTCCAGTGAAGTGCTACTGAGGATTTGCAGGTAGCTGTGATCCCACCGTGAATGGGTTCATTTATTCCCTAGACATTCCAGTGCTTGTTTGTAAAGACTCAATAGAAATTCACTCCACTCCCTCCAAGAGTCCCAGACCCTGACAGTTAAAAATCGCCAATGTTCCATGGTCTCCTTTTTCTCTCCCACCCTGGCCCCCCCCCCCCTTTAATGTGGGAATCATTCCTTTCTCCACTCCGTGTTCTGTGACTTCCCACTTGGGAAGGGCAGAAACAACCATTGGTTTGTGCTTCCTTGTCTGAGCTGCTCATGCTTACAGCAGGGACCATCTTTCAAATCAGTGACAGATTGGAGACAATGGGAATAGAAAGAGAACAGAAGTTTCCAGGGGAAAGGTACAGACTGAGCTTTGTTTCTTGAAAAATATCACTGGATCCATTTGGAATATCAGACCCAATGATATGAATCTGCCACCCAACAAGGGTTTTATATCTGCTGCAATCTGCAACTTTCTATGAACCAGATTATGATAAATATAATCTAATTATATGTAATACAAATATATATACCAATTATGTCAATGTATTTTGTTACATATGCTACAAGAAATATATTTCATGACTTCACTAGTATTGAAAACTATGATACTTCAGCAAAAATTAATCAAAAAAGAATATATTTCAAAATATATGCACACATTAATTTTTTATAATCTAGCAATATAGAAAAATAATCATTGATTATGCTACATAAAATTACATAGATACTGCATGTATGTATCACTGTCACTGTCTTTCCATTGTTCATCGATTTGCTCAAGCAGGCCCAGTAACATTGTGAGACTTGTTACTGTGTTTGGCATGTCGAAT